AGGCGCACGGGGCACATTTATTTCGAGGCCGCGACTCGAAGTGTAACTTTCCAAGCAACACTCATCGGTTCTCTGAGCCTCCTTCGTGCTTCCGCCTCACACGCCCACGCGCCTGCGGACCTGCGGAGCGGTTTCGCGTGGCGTTCGTCGCGGTCCCTCTTGCAACCCGACGGGACGGCCCGCGAGTGAGAGAGACAGTGCTGGCCTGGCACCTTCCAGAGAGCGAAGGAAAAGTGGAGCCCTGGGCGAGTGTTGACATGGAGGCTGCCATGGCATGGCGTGGCGTGTCGTGGCGGGCTGACGCGGTACGGACACGACACGGCAGGGCACAGTTATGCCAAGCTGGCCTGCAGCTGCAGCTAATACAAAAGCCGCGCATACGCGTCCGAGGCCTGCAGGCTAGCAGGCCTGCAGGCCGGCGGAGCAAGACTACACCGCAGAGCAGCCAAGCGGCCGCACCGTGCCGTGCCATCGCAAAGCCCAAAACGAGTACACTGTTGTTATCCAGGCAAAGTGATGATCGCGGCGTCGCGGCGGCCAGTTCACTGTCGGCATCAGCCCACCGAGTGCCTGATCACTGTGTGAGTCACTGGCGGTCCTCCGGGCGGTCCGGGGCAGCCGCGGGCTGCGGCGCGTCTTCGGGGAACGCGCCGGCACACTGATTCCGAGAGGCCTTTTCGTCGCCCTGTCTCTCTCGCACTCGTGGGGCGTCGCGTATAGGTGCGAGAGATACAGAGCAACGAAAACGACTCTCGTCATCGGTCTGCTGGACGCACCTGGAATGCGCCCCGACACCTGGAGGACCCTCACGCGTCTCACAGTCTCTCTCCCACACACGGGCAGTCCTTGAGGAAATTTACACGAAATCAATGGACGTTTGTTCCCAGGTTTCGGCCAAGAGAGGGCCAGCAAGCCGCTGTCGAGCACAACGAGTCACTTCTGTGCCACTCCCATGTCACTTCCGCGTTTCTGTGTCTCTTTCTGTGTCGCCGTGCTCGCGTTCGAGCCGAATGCAATTTCGCCGGCCTACATGGCAGCATGGCAGGCTGCCTCAATAATCATTGAACATGCTGCCTGCAGCGCAGCACAGCGCAGCTCAGCGCTCTCTGGGTCTGCGAGGTCCGCGCCCCGCCCGCCGCGCCCCGCCGCGAGGGCAACGAAAGGGGCTGGGACGCAACAAGGACAGACAAGGACGCAGCGAGGAAGAGAAAGGGAGAGGGGAGACGAGCAGGAAGGATGTGGCTGACCGGATCCAACCGGGCTGCAGCTGCGCCAAGCTGTGCGCCGTGCTGGCCGTGCTGGCCGTGCTGGCAGCGGCAGGTGATCGCCGCGTACGCCATGCTGGTCGAGCTGGTTGCGGCGTTCGAGCGGTGGGCGGCAATTTCGGCGGGGCTGTAACGGCTTTGTCATTCAACAGTTGATTCCAAGTACAAGCTGAGTAAACCACTATCCGAAATAGCCCCCTCCCCTCCCCCTGCTTCGACTCCATGAGCACTCTCGCCACCCGCAGGTGTCGGCGTCCGGAGGCGTCCCCACACGAGGACCGCGCCTCGGCGCTGCTACCGCGGAGAGGGCCTTGACGGGCGGGGCGGGGTGGCGCGTCGCGGTGCCCGCCAAGCCCGCCTAGCCCGCCGTGTTGCCGCCAGGGTGGGTCCGGAGAGGACTCTAGGTCCGGCAGCCTGGCCCAACCCTAACCCCACCACCCTCCGCGCCACCCGCTCGGGACCTCATCGCCATGTGTCCTCCCTCCCTCCCTTGTCCCTCACCCCACGGATCCCTATCACCGCGGGAGAGAGGGTAAAAGAGGATTCAGCTTTGGGGTTGGTTTCGGCGGGGGCCGGTGTGTGTGTGTGCCTGTGTGTGGGGGCATGCCCCATTGTGATCCTTATTTTGGAACGCGCTTCGAACAGGCGGCCCTGCCACTTTTCGCTTTTCCGCTCCCAAAACAGGACCGAAACAACAGAACGGCCGGGGTCCGCGAGTGCCGCGCGCCAGTCGCCAACTGGAACAACTGGAACATGGTGCAGTGGCGTATAGTCGGCGTGGTGGTGGCGTGCATGATGGTGCCGTTGTTTTGCTCTATTTCCCGACGCGGCTCGCCTGCACACTGCTGCACACCGATCCCGAATCCAAACAGCGTTTCGTCGCCGTGTCTCTCTCGCACCCACACCTAGCGCCCGGCGAGTGCGAGAGAGACAGAGCGACGAAAGCACTGTTCGGAATCCAGTGTAGCGCACACGGCGCTAACGCCGAACGGCCGAACCCGCGGAGGGCCGCGAGCGAGATCAGCGGATCCGTTTCCCGCGAAATCGTTGCGCGCCATCGGTCTCCGTTTCGCGATGCGGCGCTGCGGCGGTGGGGCGTGGCGCGGCGTGGCGCGGCGTGGATCGGCGGTTTTGGAACCGGAATTGAGTACTTGGCGACTATATTTAGCCGGATTGGGCCGAGCCACCGCAGCTACCGCCTGCCGGCCGCCGCCCAGGCCGCCAGGCCGCCCAGCGTCAGCCCCGTCCAGGCCGTCCAGGCCGTCCAGGCCCCGTCTGCTGGCGGGCACACTGCGGGGCCGGCGCTCCAGCGGGCTGCCTCTCAACCTCAACACCGCTCCGTCTCTCTCACACCCCTACGGGCCGCCTCGTGAGTGCGAGAGGGACAGAGCCTGCAGACAGGTTGCAGAGCAGCGACCGGAAAGGCAAAAGACCGCGCGCGCCGGAGAGGCTCGCCTCGCCCAATCAAACAGCTTCGCTAGGGACGTAATAAACCCATTTTTGGCGCGTCTGCCCAACTAATGTGTGTGTGAGTGTTTTCCCCCTGGCGCCGCACGGGCCGCACGCTAGACTCGCTGGACGCACTAGACGGGGCAGTTTTACTCAAAGCGATGGGCGCTGGCTAATTATGCTTGTGTCAGGCGACTGCCTCGCGCAGTCACGTGATGCTGCGGGACGCGGGACGGACGCACCTAGGACGCAGCAGGCTGAGCGTCGTCGTCGCCGTCTCCGTCGCGCACATGAGGCGTCCCGCTGTGGTGCGAGGGAGACAGGACACTGTGGGCCGCGGTAGGTCTTTACGGGGACCTCACAATGGATCGGCCGAGGCCCGGGGCTGCCCAGGGCTCAGGACTGGCACAGGTGGGAGGGGGTGTGATGTGTCCGATGCAAGAGAAGGGCATGCCCACGGGCATGCCCACGGGCATGCCGGTGGCGTAACCGCCTCGAAAGGGAACACGGCGTGGAGCCGCCGCCGTGCTGCCGTGTGCGCCGTGTGCTGGCTGCCCGACCGACCGACGGGACGCCGTGAGACAAAAGAAAACAGTCGTACACCTTGCGAGACATTGCATTGCCGCCCTGCATGGGACCGGGGAAAATGGAAAAATAGGCCTGGAGACAGCAAACAATTTTTTGTTGTTTACCCGCCACGCGACTATCAAATCACACGGCCCGGCTCGGCTCCCTTCCCACCCTCGCCGGGGACGGGGACTTCTAACCCCCACCCCGTCGTGCCCTCCGTGCCCCTTCCCCTTCTGTCCCTTGACACCCCCCCACACCCCCCCGCGCCGTCCTGTAGAAGTGTGCCGTAAAGGCTGCCTACCCTCCAGGCGGACCTGCACTGCGTAGCTCAGCAAAGCAAGCAAAGCTACCCCCACCCGTACCCCCACCCCCTTGTCTCCGCTACCCCCGACCACCCCGACGCTCACTGCTCCTCCAGCTCTGCAGCCTCCCTGGCCGAGCTGGCCGTGCTGGCCGTCAACGTCATCCCGAGCCCCTTGCAGCCCCTGGCTCCCCTGGCCAGCTCCGTCCTTCTCTAGAGCAAGTACCTTTCTCGTCCTCAAGGGAAAGCAGCAGACTGATTCCATTCCGAGCTGTCTCTCTCGCACTCAGAGGGCGTCCTCACAGGTGCGAGAGAGACAGAGCGACGAGAGCGACTCTCGGAATCAGCCTACTGGGAAGGAAAGGGCCGCTCCAGGCTTCCTGAGGACCAGAAGCGGAAATTCGCTCGGGGTCGGTTGGAAGATGTCTTTACACTCCACCATTAATGGGAAGAGCACATTCGTAGGGGGCGGAAAGAGGACCAAAAAATAAAACTTTGCGCCGGTTCTGCTGCAGAAACAGCTCCAAGTAAAACGTCGATGTCTCCACGTGGACGCCAGAAAGATTTAGCGCAGCAACATTTGGCTTCCCCGACCGCGAACCCTGTCCCAACGCATCCACATACTACTTCCTCCTGCCGTAAGTAAACTCAATTCTCCCCACAATCAAGGTTCTCTCCCCCACCCCCCTCCCCGGACTCCCCGGCGGCCCCGGACGCCCTGGAATGTGCTACTCTTGGGGGGCGTTTGGAAACGGCGTCCGAGCGGGTTTGCACTTGTCCCTTGCCGTCCGCCCCTGCGAAGACGGGAGAGAGGGAGAGAGAGAGAGAGAGAGAGAGACAAAAAGCGAGCAAGCGGCAGGGCAGGCGCGAGAACCACGGCTCTGCCAAGCTGGCTGGCTGGTGTTCCGAACGTGGGTTCGGGTCTGAAACTATTTCAAGGAGCGCGCCACGGCAGAGATCCTTACTGGCGAGCACTGCGTGACTCAAAGTCACCCCACGGAGGATCAAGTCTAGCGCCGCAGTGAGGAGGTCTCCAATCTGGGACCCCTTTAAACATTTAAAAATTAATACGAGTCGCTAGTTGACCCACGGCCGAGGTGCATGTCAATAAACGTAGTGCTCCGGAAGGACTCTGATGAACTCGAGTATTGATCCTGCGGACACGGCTGCGCTCACAGCAGGGCCGCACCAAAAGCAGAGGATGTTGAAGAATTTGTGAATTATTGAGGAAACGGCACCGCAAAGCGAGCCAGACCGCCTGTTAAAACTTGAAATTTGGATCAATCCGTCGAGCCTGACAGTTTACAGCGATATGTCATTTTTCCTGAGATGTGAAAGAGGGAAAATTGTGGGTTTGGTGCCACGGGGCTGTGACTCCGCGCTAGTTCGCGCGACCGCCGTGGGTGGCAGCACAAGCACCGCCACTGTCTAGTAATGCGCTCTACCGGAGAAAGAGGAAACTTTTAATTGACCCATCTCTGTATTTTCTCCTCTGACGTCCACTGAAAATCGCTAAAAGGAGGACGTTTCAAGTCGGAAATTTGAGTGGTGTTTGTAAACAATTTGTTGTGCTGTGTGTGCGGGCGGTTCAAGATCAAGTGGAAGTCGGGTGAAAGATGAGGGTGGCATCTTGGTGGGTGTAGGTGTGTAGAGGGTCGAGCTGTGGCTGTCTGCTGCCTAGCCTCTGCCAACCTCCATTCCTCCATAACAGAACCCTCGGTTCTGGTTTGTAGGTGAAAAGAGCGGCCGTCGGAACCAGCGGGAGCCCTGGAAGGTTTCAAAGTAAAAACCATGGGCAATGCCGCTACGGCCAACAAGAAGGGAGATTCCGCCGAAAGCGTCAAGGAATTCCTGGACCAGGCGAAAGAAGAATTTGAAGACAAATGGAAGAAGAACCCAACCAACACGGCCAGTCTGGAGGACTTCGAACGGATAAAAACTTTGGGAACAGGATCCTTTGGAAGGGTTATGATTGTACAACACAAACCTACCAAAGAATATTATGCAATGAAGATCTTAGATAAGCAAAAAGTAGTTAAGTTGAAACAGGTGGAGCACACCCTAAATGAGAAGCGCATTCTGCAAGCTATCAGCTTTCCTTTCCTTGTTAGCTTAAAGTTCCACTTCAAGGACAATACCAACCTCTACATGGTGCTGGAGTATGTACCTGGTGGAGAAATGTTTTCTCACCTACGTAAGGTTGGTCGCTTCAGTGAACCGCATTCACGTTTCTATGCTGCACAGATCGTTCTTGCATTCGAATACCTGCATTACTTAGATCTCATTTATCGAGATTTGAAGCCAGAAAACTTGCTCATCGACAGTCAAGGATACCTTAAGGTTACTGACTTTGGATTTGCCAAACGTGTCAAGGGCAGGACCTGGACACTCTGTGGAACACCTGAATATTTGGCTCCAGAGATCATCCTCAGCAAAGGATACAACAAAGCTGTGGACTGGTGGGCGCTTGGTGTGCTGGTGTATGAAATGGCAGCAGGATATCCTCCATTCTTTGCCGATCAACCTATTCAAATCTACGAGAAGATTGTGTCAGGAAAGGTGCGCTTCCCGTCTCACTTCGGATCTGACTTGAAGGATTTGCTCCGCAATCTCTTGCAGGTAAGTTTTGCATGAGTGTCTCATGGAAATGTGTTCCCCTTTACTTCTCTTGTTAAACATTGTCACTTAACCTGTCATTACTACATAGTCATGGTAGTCATGATTTGATTTGAGTGCCTTGTTATCAGTTTGCATGTGGGATTGATAAAGTTAGAGTAAGTTTTCATTTTCGGTTTGGAAAAAAGAATGTTTTTAGTTTAATGTTCTCATCTTTACTTTAATGTTGTGACATTCCACTTTCTATATTTGAATTTATTTGTGGGCAACATAAAGTCTCAATAATGCTATGAGAATACATTTTTTATCGGAATTGACAGTCCAAATGCAGACTGCTATCTTTAATTTCACTTCATTCCAACTCAGAATCAGATTGATCCTTAAAAAAAAGTGAATCTGAGTTTATCTGTCATTCTGGTTGCTTGACAGTAATACAGGTACATGATTCTAAACTCATACTAACATTTCAAACAGCATTCTAAATTATGTGCATATTCATAGATATAAACAAACAACAATTATTTTCCTCTATCCTAAAATACAAATTGATAAATAGTGTCATTTCAGATGTATATGTTGCTTGTAAATTTAAATGTGTATCAATTTTTCAAAGTTAGAATACTTGGTATTTTGTAATTTTGTCTTCTGTATTTTAAATTTAACCAAAATGCAGCTTTTAAACAATTTCGTCTCCTTGTTTCAGGTGGATCTGACCAAACGCTATGGAAACCTGAAAAATGGAGTGAATGACATCAAGGGGCATAAATGGTTTGCATCAACTGATTGGATTGCCGTGTTCCAAAAGAAAATAGAAGCACCTTTCATCCCACGGTGCAAAGGTCCAGGAGATACAAGCAACTTCGATGATTATGAAGAGGAGGCGTTGCGCATTTCATCTACTGAGAAGTGTGCTAAAGAATTTGCAGAATTTTGAGTGATCCCCCTCCCCTTTAGTGAGCAGACATTTTATTGTAGGTTTCTCTTAATTTAGTTAAGAAAAAGTGTGACTAATTACAATATTGAACAATCTGAAGCTCCCTCCCCTTTGAAGGAAAAAAACTGGAAAAGCTAAGAAAAAAATTAGAGTAATTTGCCTCCTGGTGTTGACCATGGCATTTAATTACCTAATGGAGTGATGCTGTGCGCTGTGCTGCGTTCCCCATGTTGCATTGTGTCACTCTATGCCATGCTCTGGGTGGCCCAGAAAGGAGGTTTTTTAACTGTCCCTTCCCTGTCCCCGTTCCCCTTATGCTCCCTGTCCCTCCCCTTGTGTGATTTACAGTGGTTTAGCTGTATGGCAATATGATAAATTTATCAGCCTTCACACCACGAACCTCTTCCCCAACCCCGTTTTTACCCTTTGTGCTTTGCTTCCAAAAGTCAAATACCGAGATGTTGTTTAAGTAGTTTATTTTCCTATGTGCTAAGTATGCTATCACTAGCTGCATTTTCATGTCATATCAGGAAGTAAGATGAGCCACTTGTCTTGTAAACAGGGTTTATATCAAATACTGTATATCTGTTCCTATGGCTCCTATGTATAAAAAAAATCGAGTATACACCATTTGTACCCTTTTGCAGGCTGCGTAGTCTTATTTGGAGATTTGTGTTCGTTGTGCAAGGAATTTGGCATTTATAGAGTTAATTCAATGAAGTGTGGTCGTTTTTTTGTTGTTTTTTTTAGTGTGGCTCTAGCCTTCCTATCATGTTGACTGCCTTTCCAACATCACCCGTGCGCTCATATATTCAAATACCCTATACTATATATGATGAATTATATTATTTTTGTTTGTGCTTATGATTATGATCAGTTGAAACCTGTGCAATGCAACATTGTATTGTTAGAAATTGATTGATGGAGATGTGGTCGCAGATTATGTTAAAATTTATTTGTTGTTACTAGTCGAAATTGATGTGTTTAGCGTGAGTGTGGACAACATAGGACCAAACGTGAGAGTAGTATTCCCCTACTAATATCTTACTCTTAACTTAACTACAGTATTTAATGGTAACAGTTTGTTTCCTGGTGACAAGACCGTCAAGTGCTGCTTGCGAGAGGTGGCTGGACCCTGTGCCATATTACAGGAGTGACAAAGTGCCAAAGCCTCTTGGAAAAAAAAAAATACCACATAGGTTTCAGTTTTGAGCTACTGCTTACAGATGCAGCTTGGTTACAGAATCTGGTGTCTGTGGCAACACTCAGTTTATTCTATCAAACTATTTTCCAATACATATTTTTATACTTTATTTTCTGAGCTTTAAATTTGAAATTTAAGATTAGTTAACTTCTATCAATTAACAAAATTGAAAGATGAAATGAAAGAAGTCAACACAGGAAAACTGACAAATTGACCAAGCTATGATTTTGTCACAGTCCCTTCTCTGGTCACATGATGCATGATGCCTGATGTGAGTACTTGAGGCAGTCGCTACTGTATGCTAGAAGCCATATATTTTTGTTTTTGTTTCACTCAACGGTGTATGTCTTCCATGGGGAAGAATTTAATGCACATAGACACTGGTGAGGCAGGGCCAATCAAGCTAACATGCAAGCTAGCAGGAGCCTCTAGCGTGCAAATGTGTGTACGTATGTCCATGTGTGAAAGTGTTTGTATGATTGTGAGCGTGTATCTGTTTATGAGGACGGCCACTTCTCTGAAGCGCCACAGGCCAAGGGCCCACAAGCCCTTGGTCACACTGGCATCCAGTGGGAGCCATATGGGAACCTGATGGGTTCCTACTTTAATCCTGGTGGTTACAAATGTTTTGTTGGTTGTTTTTTCTGTAATAGCTAATTGTAATAAATATATGTGTATGTATATATATGTATCTATGCTCGTTCTGATATATGTATATGCATATGTATGTATATTTATTGAAATACCACATGAAGAATCAAAACTGATATAACTTGTTTGAATCCTTTTTATATTATATGTATTTGTTTTGGTCTATGTTGTAAGGTCTTGTGTGATATTGTGTTTTTAGGACTGGAAGTTCGTTGTACAATGGACTTTAAACAATTGTAATAATTAATTAGTATCTGTTTGTACACTACCATATGGTACATGTAAGTACCTGTACTGCTGAGGTTCACTTTACCATGTAAATGTGAAACTGGTCATGTTTAATTTCTACATAGATGTAGTGTTTTACCTGTGCAATCCTTGACCCTATTTCTGTTAGTATTATGTTGACCTGTTGGTATTAGGTTTTAGCCTGCCCTTGTGGCGCAGAGCAAAGCTTCTTCTATCTCCCTCCCCATCACATTGTTGTTTTGATTGTAGGAAGATTGCCAAAACTTATGTTTGCTGTATAATATGTTAAGTTTTATTTTTGTTTCTCACTAACTGTTTAAAGTGTCATTTTGCTTTGCAATGAGTGAGGCTGAGAGGTTTATTTAAAAGTGTTTTAAAATTGACAAATAAAAAAAGCGTAAGTAGTATATGTTTGTGTTTTAGTCGATGAAGTGCCATTTCATTTCATCTCTTTAATAGAATTTTCTTGAATCGTTAAAATCATTAATAAAAGGATGAAAACTAGCATGTGACCTGGCTGAGTACAAAAGTAATTGACTTGTTTTATCCTTGTTGTTATAAGTTTCATGTTTAGTTTCTGAGCAATTGTGTTGCACAGCTATCTTAGCGTGGTAACTCCTTATTTTTCCTTTTTATGGCAACCTTTCAAATCTCATTCAAGCAATAAAACAGCTGTGGCTACAATTGCATTTAATTATGGTGTAGTTTATTTTGCTTTGAAACCTTCGCAAAATTATTATATGGAAGTGCCACACTTCCTTGCATTTATTATCACTTTCTGATTTTATTGCTGAAATATCTACCGTCACTAGCACCATAGGCTCCAATTTTCAGAAAAGGTAATGATTACATTTAAAGAAAAAAACACAAACTGCCATGATACTAGACTTTTTCTGAATTGCATGCTTAGTGTATTGCCTTTCTTTGTGGGATGCACATGCATTCAGGATGAAAATAGGAAATATGTATGTCAAGAGGTTTTTTCCCCCTTGAATTCTTATTACTGCAACCTTTAGACCCATTATCGAGATGTATAAATTGCGTGATAGATCTTCCCCTCTTTGATTGCATTGTGTAGGCAAGTAAGGAATCTGATGTTAATCTTTCAGTGTCATTCCTGTGGCATTTGTGTGAGATCCATCAGGTCTAGTTGGAAACATTTTTCAACTTTGATGCTGCAGCATTGCTGCTATAATTTTCACAGAATTTTCTTCTACTCCTGTACTGAAGCTGTTGAATTGGAAAAAATCCGTTGGTAACATAATGCTGTTTATTGTAGGCAGAATTCTGAGAATAACTTAAGTGCAACCCTAGTGTCTGAATGAATTGCTCCAAATGCTTCTATGTTGGTCGGGTGGCGGTGAGGAGTTTTCCCACCTTTGGATTGGATTCCGTAGCAACACTGCATGGTGGTACGGACGACTGCCGATTCTCCGGCGGCTGCGCTAGCTGTTCCCACAGAGACATAGAAGCACCCCAACTCCCCTTCCCATGCGGACTGACCGCCGCCGAAAGGTAGGCAACACTTCGAGCACCTGAGCCCTGATACCCAAGCGGCTGCCTACCCCGCCGGCGCAGATCGCGGCTCCAAGCTGTAAGGCTCGAACCGTGCGCATCATGCGCCCATTTTCTGAGTGGTGATCAAGTGTATTTTTCCTTTTGATAGACAGGATTACCTGACTGTATTTCGGCTGAAATCTCTTAAATAAAAAGTACATCTAAGGGAATGACGCTGGGCGTTCGCTGTTTATTCTGTTCCATGCCTCTTGCTCGCCTTCTATTTGAACAGGGATTTGTGTGTCTCGCTGTAGGCACGCTGTAGGCTGCGGGAGCTGCTACATCGCACACGCGAAACACACAAACAAAGCGACTGACATGCTCGACCCTGGTGCTTCGCGTCCTACGGCAAACGTAACGGGTCCGGGTCCGCGTCGCTACCCCGCACCGTGCGTGTGTGCGTCGCCCTGATTCTCGTTCATTGCCAGGGAATGACAATCGCGCCGAACGTAGACGTCGCAGACCGGCAGCCCGTTGCCCGTAGACTGTGGGCCCTGTGGGCGTGCCGCGTGCCGGTGGGGGGTAATTTGACATGAAGGTCGTTAGATCACGCGCTGAGCAACTTGGAAGCACGTGGGAGTTTTTTTGGGCCGCCGTGCAAATAGGTGGCATGATTGGCTGCCGATACCCCGCGCTGCAGACCGCGTGGCGGTCGCGGTGTCGCGGTGCGTCGCCAAACGTGTCGCGCGGCGCATAATGTCTCCGGCGCGCGGGATGGCGCGCATGTGGCACCCCTTTCATAAATAACCACGAGGCGGGGGGTATTTGCATACGACAAACTTGGACCGTCGCAGGTGGTTCTGTTTCTGGGTGTTTCGGCGGCTGCAGCGTGGCTGCAGGGCCACAGCGGACTTGGACCAAGGTTGCAGAGTCCTATTCACTGTTTCTGAGATGAGCTGCGGCCTGAGCTGCCGACCCAGCGTTTCATCGGGTCCACACATCTCGGATTTTTAAGCTCCCAGACCACAACAACACGGGCGGCGGGGCGGCGGTGTGGCGATCCTGAAAGAAAATCCGCCGCCAGACTCGCCAGACTGGCCGCCTTCGTCTCGCTCGCACGCACTCGCTTCCGCGCCGGGCAAGACGAGGGCGAGAGAGCGCGGGCAAGGCGCGGCGGGGCGTTTCGGAGGCCGCCGCTGCTGGGCACCGGGGCGGCACAGCTATAGAGGTGCCCGCCCCGCCACGCCCCGCCACGCCCCGCCCACACCGGCGACTTCAAAGAGACCGCCAAAGGAAGACTGCGGGAGAGGGGGTGGGGTGGGGGCCGGCACCGGCGCACGGCAGTTCCGTCAAGTCAGAGCCTAAATCAGGTAGTCGGTGATCACTTTGTCGATCAGGCGGGGCGAAGCGGGGCTCGGTGGGGCGCGAGTGAGTCAGTCAGCAGAGAGCGGCCAAAGCCAGCCAAAGCTGGGCCCCAGCGCCCCGCCGAAGGGCCGCTGCCGCGCCGCCCAGCTTAGTCGGGAAGGACTATGGCGGGATAGGCAGGGCACGGCTGCGCTCGAAGCTCGACCAGCTCGACGCTCGAATGGGTCCAGAGGCCAGAGGGACGGAGCACGGAGTCTGCCAGAGTCTGGCCGGCCTGGCGGGGTCCTGCCTCGCCCTGCCCGAGGCCCCCGGCACCGTGCTCAGCACCTCGGCACTGCCCAGCAGGCCAGCGGGCCGCGCACCGTGCTGCTGCCTGCACGTCCGGGACCCCAGTCGAGTGAGTGGTCCCAGTGCCTCGCCGCGCTCCGAACGAGCAGGTCGCCGTGCGTGTCACGCCGTCACGCAGCGTGTCGTGCCGCCGGTGCCGCCGCCGCCGAGCCCCGCGTGTGCGTGTACGGGGTGCGCAGCCCCCTTCAGCGCGTCGCGCCCCTCTCGGCCCTCCCTCGGCCCCACCACTTCCTGGAACCGCCACCGCCGGAGCCTCGCGGAGCCTGCACCGTGACATGCGACGGGCGTCGCCGTCCCCAAGACGTCCCCGTCGTCACTTAGTCGGACGCCGGCGTCACGCGAGGGCGTCGCCGTGAACTCCCTCCGGACATCGACCGTCGTCGCCGCGTCCAGCCTCGCGTCCAGCGCAGCCCCTACACGATGAAGACGACCACGGTGAGTCGCGCGGGGGAAGTTCCACTGGGGGTGCTTGGCGGCGGGGGTGGCGTTGGTCGCCGGCGCCCCGGTGACGGGTTGGCGGCCTTGGTGAGCACCGCGACGACCCCCACCGTCGGCCCCGCGCCGTCAAAGCCTTGTAAAAATTCCAGTGCATGTCGGCCGGGTCGGCAGGGCAGCAGGCTGGGCGGCGGCGGCGAGCGAGGCCAACCCCATCAAGGCCATGCCGGCCACGCTGGCCATGCAAAGGGATGGAGCGGTCCTGCATAATCCTCATGACCCAAGGCCACCCTGCCCCGCCCCGTCGCCCCTCGCCCCTCCACCGACGCGCCGCCGGCCGTTTATGACGTGATGTCCACGGCCGGGCCATCACCGCGCACCGCCATCACCGAGCGGCCGGGCGCCACGGATTAGAGCAGAGCGGCGGCCAGAGACGGAACATAAAAACTAACTCACTCGCCGCTCTCCACTCTGCTTGTCGCAAACCCGGACGGGTCTCCGTGGAGCTGGAGGTCCTCGCCGAGTCGCCACCGTCGCCACGAGGACAGCGGGCTGCAGGACATCGGGACGCCGCCGGGACACCGGGACGGGGTCTTGGTTGTTGTTGTGCGGCGCGGCGTGGCGCGGCCGGCCAGCCTCATCTGCATCGCGGCCCGAATAATTGGGGCCTTTGAGGATGTCGGGCATGTCGGGCATGTCGGGTCGGATCCGATGGTCCAGATGTATTAGTGCCGCGCCGTCTGCTCGGCCGAGACAGAGACCTCGCTGCCCGTCCTTGTCGCTCCCCGTCTCTTTTCACGGCGAGAGGGAGACGGCTGCGCCACGGCTGCGTGGCTGTGACGAACGCAGCCGAAGCGAGCCGAAGCCGAGCGCTAGCGCTACGCCCCGAAGTAGTGGCGGCGAATTCAAAGGATTCAAAGGGCCCTAATTAGGCCTGCAGGCTGTAGACCAGTGCCTCGTCGCTCTGTCTCTCTCGCACTCACGGGGCGGCCCGCTCAGGTGCGAGAGAGACAGAAGCATCGTTCGTTTCGGAGTCAGACTGCAGAGAGGCTGCAGGCAGGCAGGACAGGTGTGCCGCACTGCGCACTACCCAGCCACGCAGCCCAGTGGAGTGACCAGCACGGCCGCGAGCGTGCGTGCGTGCGTGCGTCAAAACAAAGCCATGCTTCTTTATAATGTGTCTGGCCGCCGCCGCGCCGGCGTGGGTAGGCCACCCGCTCATAGGCGCTGTGTTTCCACCGTTTTGGCAGGCGACGCCGGCGTGCCTGCTGCTGCTGCTGCTGCTCGCCGAGGCCAAGCCGCAGCACCGCGAGGAGAACGCCGTCCTCCAGCCCGGCGTGGCCGTCCTCGCGGCGCGCACCTCGCCGCAGGTCGCCGTCCAGGACATGATGATGCAGGCCATCAAGTGCTGCCCCGTGGACGAGCAGCGCGGCATGCGGCGCGTCTTCCTGTCCAACCGCAACGTCACCTGCAACGACGGCTCGCCCGCCGGGTACGTGATAACGCGTGTTAGCGTGGACGACGAGCGGCCAAACGTCGCCATGCGGCCCCACTGACCAACCTCTCCTCGTTGCAGCTTTTACATCAGGCGGTCGCACGGCAGTAGAAAGTGGATCATCTTCCTCGAAGGTAGGCGTCGCTGCGGTAGGCTGCGGGTGCGAGAGAGACAAAGAGGCACCCTGACGTTGACGGCGTCCTCGCCCTTGTTGCAGGCGGCTGGTACTGCTACGACACGTGGAGCTGCCACCACCGCTGGCTCCGGCTGCGCCACCTCATGACGTCGGCCCAGTGGCCGGACGTCCGCCATGGTCAGTCGGCCTCAGCTTCGGCTGCTTCGGCTTCCCTTCCATTTCCGTTCCCCTTTTTTCGCTGCTCTGCCCGGGGGCGGGCGGGGGAGGGGGTTGGCCGGCTGCTGTCGGCGGCAGATCTGTTCCAAAGCGGAGCAAAACAATAACGCGGGGTTCCGAAGCATGAATGGAATTCTTCGATACCCCCTCCCGCAGACCGCACAATGGCAAGCCAATGGCGAGCCACCCTTGGGAAAGACGAAAACTATTGTGGAATTGGCCAATTGGCCATAGCCACGCGCGCCGATCGGCGCTCCAGCCCTTGTTCCTTGTTTCTGTGAATGACGCTTCGCTTCAATTCGATTCCAGTCGGAGGCATCTTGTCGCAGACTCCCGAGGAGAACCCCTACGCGTGGAACGCCAACCACGTGTGAGTACCACGACACTGCGAAATTCAAGTGGCGTTGCCTCGTAGACCTGCTCTGTGACGTCCTGACGTTTGCACTGTCCTGTCCAGCCTCGTGCCATACTGCTCGAGCGACTCCTGGAGTGGCGCCACGCCGCCCGGCCCGGCCCCGGACCCCTCGTCGGCCACCTTCAGCTTCATGGGGTCCCTGATCGTGCAGGAGGTGGTGCGCGACCTCGCCGCCATGGGCCTGCACAACGACTCCCACATCCTGCTCGCGGGGACGAGGTAAGGGAAAGGGCTTTGAACCCGTGTGGTGCCATGCCGTGCCATGCCGCCGCCTCCCTCGAGTGCACTGTAAATCGACTTTCTCAATCCGGCAATGTTTCGCTGCCGAGTATTCGATCCGTGGTTCCTGCTGTTTCCAGCGCGGGCGGCACGGGCGTGATGCTGAACGTGGACGCGGTGCAGGACCTCGTCCGCGGCCCGCTGGGCATGCCGCACGTCTGCGTGCGCGGCCTGGTGGACTCCGGCTGGTTCCTGGACAGGGCGCCCTTCTCCCCCGACGGCCCCTACGGCCCCAACCGGCCCAACGCCCTGTCCGCGTCGGACGCCGTCCGGCAGGGCATGTCGCTGTGGAGGGCCAGGATGCCGTCGGCCTGCGCCGCGCACCACCGCGCCGAGCCCTGGCGCTGCTACTTCGGCTACCGGCTCTACCCCACGATCCGAGGTACGCTACGCTGGCGCGGGGTAGCGCCGCGAGCGCGAGCTTGGCGCGCCCGCCGTGGGAGGGCGGCAGTGGCCATGTTCGCGGAGGGGCGACGCCGACGCCGACGCCCCGCACCAGGCGCTTCCCTCGGCGGCAAAGTTCGAACGACCTTGCGTCTCTGCCGCGCGACTCCAAAGAGCCATTTCGTCGCCGTCTCTCTCGCAACCCCGCGGGCCGCGCGACGCCCCATGAGTGCGACAGAGACAGAGCGACGAGGTGACTTTTCGGAACCAGCCCGCTGGCCGTGCTGGTGCACTGCAGTAGACAGTGGCGTGAGCGTCTTGCCCTGTTCGCAGCGCCGCTCTTCATCTTCCAGTGGCTGTTCGACGAGGCCCAGATGACCGCCGACAACGTGGGCGCGCCCGTCACCAAGCAGCAGTGGGACTTCATCCACAAGATGGGGGACAACTTCCGCACCACCTTTAAGAACGTCTCGTAAGTGGAGGAGGTGCACCCGAGTAGCGCCTGGAGCGAGGGGAGGTTGACGAGTCCGTTTCTGTCCGCCAGCGCCGTGTTCGCGCCGTCCTGCATCGCGCACACTGTGCTCACCAAGCGGGACTGGGCCTCGGTGCGGATCGACCGCGTGTCGCTGCCCAGCGCGCTGCGCTGCTGGGAGAGCCGCCACCTCGGCCCGCATCTGCAGCATCTGTAAGCAGGGCCAGCAGAGCCTGGCAGAGCCCACCGACTACGCAATCTCTATGGTCCCACTGTTTGTTGACGAAGCTTTTTGGTCGGATGCAGGCCGCCGTCGTCCATGGTGTCGGACTCTCCCGTCGGCGAGAAGCCCCCCGAGGAGAAGCACAAGCGGAAGAAGGGGAGCACCCGCAAGCAGCGGAAGGGGCAAGGCGAAGGTGGGTCAACTCCGTCTGCTCGCCGCGCCAAGAAAACGTGTTGCGTTGGAAAGGGATAAGTCTGTCAATTTGTTTTCCTTCAGGCCGCGCCCGGTCCGCCCGGTCCGCTCGGAGTGGCTGCCCCACGCGACACGTCGAGATGTGCTCTTGGCCGCAGTGCAACCACTCCTGCCCCAAACTGCACAACCCGTTCACAGGTAAAGCACACCGTCGCCACCAGACGACAGGACTGTACCAATCCCAGTTTTCAATTTTCATTTCGGTTCCTTCGGATCTTCCTTCGGATTGCAGGCGAGGAGATGGACTTCATCGAGCTGCTCAAGTCGTTCGGGCTGGACATGATGAGCGTGGCCAACGCGCTGGGCATCGACATCCAGACCCTCAACAACATGGACCACGAGGAGCTGCTCAATCTGTTGACGCAGCAGGCCAATTGACGACCCCAATGCGACGTTTTGGCCGGTCGCCTTCGAATGGCTTCGATCTAGGCTCTGGGTCTCGGTTGGGGCACGGTACCCAGGCTACCGGAAAACGGTCACCACACCAGGAACCCATATTCCTCTTCTATTGCAGCCAAAGAAAGTACAGCAAGCTGTTTGTTTTTAAATTCCTGTAGAAAATGATAGACTTTTTTGTCCTTTTTATCAAAGTTATATTTGTATCCATGTCTTTTACCTGTGTGATGTTTTTACCTTGTGATGAATTTTGTACATACGTTTTGTAAGCGGAAACCGCACGAACGATGTTTGTAAATATTGTGAATACACGTTTAAAATCAATTTCTATGCACTCTTTCTTCCCCATCTCACTGAACACCACCACTACGCTATTTTAGTTGCCAAATATTGCAAGTTTAGGAGCACCTTTCAAGAGTGTGCAAAGTTCAACACGATCGATTCATAGCAAGGCTGTCAATTACGGAAGCGATATGACTTGGAGGATACAGTGCGGTGCAGTAAAGTGAGCACCAATGCCAGCAAGTCACTACCGTCCCGCATCGGGCGAAACATAGAGAGTCCCTAGAATTCCTGGCACTTTTTTGAGGACTATTTTGGCCCCAAACAGTCATTTGATAGCGAAAAACTGGAATCATTTGAGCATGCGCCGGACAGGCAGGCAACCCAGCGTCTACAGAGCATCTGAACGCGACAGGCGTCACGAGACAAGTCATTTCCACACCAAAAAGAATGTCAAAGACCACTGGGCACTGGGGACCAGGTAGACCACCCTTGTGGCACGCCACGGCAGGGAAGACGCAAAACAAGCAGAAAAATCTGCGTTTTCATTGCGGCCACATTTTTGTGACGGGGTCGTACGCACAATGCAGCAGTACACATCTCCCTGGGCAACAGACCCAGCCCACGCAGTCCTTGCTCTTTCAATTGAGGCCCAAGGCGAGCCCTACAGTGCCCTACAGCCATTAGGTCACGAGGTCCGAGAGGGCCCGTAGGGCTCGCAGGGCGGCCTGCAGGGCGGTCGGAGGGCCGTCTGCCTGCCCTGGCTGCCCCGCTGCGGCGGCTGCGGTGCCGCTGCACGCACGCCGCGTCGACCTCAGAGTGCACGCACCGATCTGTAGCGACGCCGGCCGTGTGTGACTGACTGTGCGACTGTGTGTGTGACGGAAATCCAAATCAAGCAATTGGCGGCTGCGGCGCTGGGGCCCGCGGCCCGCGGCTGGCGGCTGGCCTGCGGCTGGCCTGGGGCAGCCCCCGTAGTCCCTCACTCAGGCCGGCCCAGACCGGCTCGCGTTCTGCTCGCGTTCTGCCCGCGTCCTCGGACTCGTCCCGGCAGTGCCGTCGTGGAGCCTGGGGTGCGCGGTGACCGTCCCAGCCCGCCGCCCGCGCCACCAAACCGCGGACTCGTCCGCGGCTCGAGAACCATGACTGCCCGGTGGACTCTGTCGCTGCTGCTCGGCGCCGTGCTGTTCGGTAAGGTAGCCTGCGTCCGGGACAAGCCTCTGCAGCCTCCACAGCCACTGCAGGCCCTTCTGGCGGACGACCAGACGAGTGCCGCACTGTCGCGCCCTTTGCGGGCCGGGGGCTCTCTCTAGTTGGACTTGGAAGGGTGGGCGAAGGCGGGAGGGAGGGCAGAGGCGAGCTGGAGGGGGAGGGGGAGGGGGGTTGACGAGCCCCTTTCGCGGCAGGGCCCGGCAGGCACGGGGACAGCGACCTCAGCAGCAATGCAGATCGAGGTCACGACGGTCTTGATGAGTTGCGCCTCGCAGTCGCGCTATGCACGGGTACGCGCGAGAACGCTGTACTAAAGTCCACTCTCTCACCCTGTCAGCTATATTGCCCAGGAAACCGCAGGGGGAACTGTCTGTGCGCAAGTTTCGAAAATTTCCCGGGTACCGGTACAAAAATAAACGCGTTTTTCACCGCAGTGCACCTTGAGGGCCAGCCCATGCCGTCCTCCGGCTCCAAGCCCGTAAGCCCCGGCTCCAGCGCCTCCAGCGCCGACAGCAGCTCCGACGAGGTGGACCGGTACCCGGGCGAGGTGCTGGGCTGGAAGAACACGCTGATGGCGACCCGGGACGACGCCGACGACAACCGCTGCTTCGCGCTGCTCTACATGACCGTGTCGCCGCTGCTGGAGCCCGAGGTGCCGCCGCGCCTCACGGACGTGGCCTGGGACTACAGCCACTGCAACGCCACGCCGCGCCGCGTCGTCCTGTACGAGCGGCAGTGGGACGAGCGGGACGCGGCCTCGGTGGAGGAGATCGTGGCAGGTAGGCGAGACGCTGGAGTGCTTTACAGTGTGGCGCCAGCGTGTCTCTCACCAACACTGTGTCCAGTGTGGAGCGCGGAGATCCTGGAGCCCAAGGGCAGGATCCGCAGCAACTACTCCGCGCCGCGCGGCCCGGTGCCCTACTACTGGCAGAGGAACTACACGGGCGACCACCACCCCGACGGCGACTTCTGCCTGCCCTTCCGCGCCGCCCTGCTGGACGAGAAGGCCAGGATCATCAACACGCAGTGCATCAGGATGAGGCCCACGTGGATGAAGCAGCTCGTCGACAAGACAAAGTGAGTGTTCTTTTCCGCCGCGGGGCTCCCATGCCGCCCGCGGGTCCGCCGCGCGCCTCGCGCGCGCGTACGTTGGGTTGCCTGCCCTCTGAGTCACAGGCGCCCGACTGGGCGAGTCCGAACGGCGCTCTCTTCTCTGTCTCTCTCGCACACGTACGCAACGCCCCATGTGTGCGACAGAGACAGTGAGCCTGCAGTGGCGCCGGCCCCAAAGCGCCGCGAAGGGTGAAGGTTGTTTCAGCGACTATAGACGCACCCGTTCCCGTTTTGCTGCAGCTCCGAGCTGTCCATCCACGAGATGCTGCTGCCCGGCACGCACAACTCGTTCTGCTACTCCAGGGACAGGGACTCGGAGAGCTCCTCGTACCTGCTGACGCAGGACCTGGACGTCTGGGACCAGCTGCTGCTCGGCGTCCGGTACTTCGACATCCGCGTCGGCTACTACCCCCAGGACATGGGCGACCAGCAGAACGAGGACCACCCGGACCACGGCGAAAAGCAAGTACCTGTGGCGAATGCATTATACAGTGTATCGCGCCGGAGCTGGAGGATCACACACGTCTCGCGTGCCTTGCTGCACGGCAATGACACCACTTGTACGCATCCAGGTTCTGGGTGAACCACGGCATCATCCGCGTGCAGCCGCTGGTGCCCCTGCTCAGGGAGCTGCGGCGCTTCCTCACGGACTTCGCCAAGCACGAGATGGTGGTGCTGGACTTCCACCGCTTCCCCGTGGGCTTCGGCGCGTCCTCGGGCGAGTACGACGACCCTCACCCCCAGCTCATCGAGATCATCAAGCAGGAGCTGGGCGACATCCTCGTCACCAACGACAGGCCCGTCACCATGCCCTCCGTCAAGGACACCGTCGCCAAGGGCAAGAAGGTCTTGGTGGCGTACCACGACAAGAAGTGGCAATCCAGAGGTACGTCTTTTTCGGGTGGGTTTTCGCACGTGCACGACAGCGAGTACAAACCGAGCCACTTGCAGAGATCAACACGCTCTGGCAGCCGATCCCCCAGCAGTGGGGCAACCAGCAGAGCCCCAAGGGCTTGATGAAGTACCTGGACAAGGCCATCCACCTCGTGTACCAGAAGCACTACGAGGTGTGGGCCCTGATGGCCGAGATGACGCCCACCGTGGTGGACGTCCTGATGCAGCGCTCCAACCTCCGCGTCATGGCCGACCTGGTGGGTGTGGGTGCACTGTGAGTGTAGTCCCAATGCGGACGCGCTCTGAGACTGAGTGCACATGCCGGTTGCAGGTCAACTACAACGTGACGGAGCGGGCCCGGCGGGGGTACTGGTACCGCAACGCCAACGTCATCGCGCCCGACTTCATCGAGGGCACGGACCTGGTGAGGGTCGCCGTCGAGTCCTGCCGGTTCCGCACCAACATCAAGAAGATCGACAGGCTGCCCGTCAGCGCCCTGGAGGAGGTGCGCGACAACCTGGACAACGAGAAGTACGCCCTGCCGGCGCCCTGGGGCGTCACGTACCCCATCCCGGCCCCAGCGTCACAACACTTAAAAAGAACTACCGCGGCGGCGGCGGCGTGAGCGTCTGGATTGTACCTGTGAACCTCTTCGATGGGAAAGGACGGACGGAATGAATGACAGAACGACTGAGAAATTTCCTGTGGCAAGTAACAGTTTAATTTTTCCATCTTTATATTGGACAAAAAACAAAACATGTAGTAGCTGCAGCGTTTATACACAGTAGGTAATCATAACTTAGTAGAAGTAAGTAGAACTGCACTTCAGAATGTTTCTCATGGCTCCTAGAGCAGCCAGCCGCGATGCAGCAAGTGTTCAACTATTTTTACAGGAAAAAGTGAAAACATATAACAGGGTAACAAAATGTTAACAGCAGGACACTTGTTTTTCTCGGCGTGGTTGCCGAAATTGTTACATGCGAAACATTCTGGCTACAGTGTAGATTTATTTTTACTCATTCTCATGAGTGACAGTACTTCAGACACAAAATTTGAGGCTATAAATAGCCTGCAAGGATTCCAAAAGGTGCCGCAAAAGGAAGGAATTAACTGTGATAACAAAAAAAAAATAAACAATATTTTTTCTTAAGTATTTTGCGCGATCCCTATATATGTCAGACTAATAGAACACTGTCAAATAACTCAAGTTACATATATAAAGGAGGGAACAAAATTTTCGGTAGATTTTTAAAATACCATCGCAAAGTGTCTTTGGCCTCACAGCTGAAATGTGAAATAAAAAGAGAAACATCTCTTGACCCCAACCAAATGCTTTCGAATTCAGTCAATTCCAAAATTCTTTTCAAGGGACTCAAAATATATTTAAAGGATTAAATGTCATGGAAATATTTGCCTACTAAAATTAAATACAAAATTGGCTTGACATAACAATAAAAATCAGACAACGTTTTGAGTTTACAAATAAAAAATCAACATTTTAACTATGAACAAACTTAATTGGCAACTATTGCACTCTGTCCAAAACCGTGGCAAAGCCGCAACAAACTTATTGGCTGCCACAAAAACGCGCAGAAAACAAAAATTTAAACCCTCTGAAATGGTATACTATATCATATCACAAATCTAAACACGTATCGTACGGACTGAAGACAGGAACTCAGAAAGGGAATGGGTTTTTGGTCCTCCATATCTGATTTCTGCCTTCTTTGTCCGCGCAAATCAATTGTTCGCAGTATTTGTCCTCAATGCCCTTAGATTTTCATCTATCTTTGGCAGCACAGTTATAAATTTTGAGGAAACTCTTTCTCCACGGGGCCTGATCTCACCCCTTCCAAGAAAACTGACCACTTCAGTGCTTTCCAGTTGCCACAAAGCCACAGAGAGAGTTTTCACTCGTTGAAAAAATCTTGGTACAAATACCGAGGATTGCATAACAAAAAACATAAACAAGTCACTATCACACATCCAGGCTCACCATCTTAGTAATACATCTTTATAATTCTTAGGTTTACAGAAGGTTTATATGTACAGCTAAAACGTTTATGAAACAATATTTACATAACATATGTACGAGGGATCACTTTCATTGGTTCTACTGTGCACCCACTTGCCCTGTGTGATGCTCACTCTGCTGCACAGTGCCGATTTCAATTTCAATTTTCACCGCCAGTTCGACACTGCGACGGTTGGCATGGCAACCGACACGAGGACGACACGAGGACGAAAAGGGGACGAGCCGAAAGCGCTGGCCCCGCCAAGAGAAAACAATTTGAAGGCGGTATGCCGCGCACGGCGGCGAGCCGGCGACGTGCATATCAACTGCCGCGAGTTGGACAGTGTCCAAGGGCCGTCGCCATCCTGGCCGCCATCCTGGCCGCCGTGCCGGCCATCTTGGGCGGGGCGCGGCGGGCCGCGGGGACCCTCAGCAACTATGCTGCATCACACGGAGCGCTCTTCCTTTGTACATTGTGTTTTGACAGGAGATCACATTAGATATGTAGTTGTGCAGTCGACGCCGGAAAGGAGCTCGACTTTGACTGCGGAGTTCACCGGGGCGGCTTTGGCGGCCGAGAGCGCTTTCGCTCCGCTCCACTCGACCCACGCGTCGAAGGGCTTGCGTAGTCCATCACAGTTACATTACACCTCGGAGTGCCGAGAGTTGGATTTATTTCTACAGGTAGCAAAGTATTCAATTGTTGAGTCGCGTTTGAAGTTTGTGGTTACCCGACGGAGCCGTTTCACAGTCAACACACGTCTAAAACTACATAGGGAGAATACCAATGAGAAAAACAAAACATATTCCATAAAATTCGAAATGAGCTGAAAAGAACCCCTACGATAAAAACATAACTATACTGTACACATTCGGAGGGAGGACGAGGCAGCCACTTCGAGGACCTCCTCGCCGCGGGGCTGTCGGGCTGTCGGCGACGGAATGTCCGCGGTCCTCGGAATGGTCGACGCCGTCCGCACCAAGACCGTCCTTGCAACGAATTGCCCGCGGGCAACAATTTGGTATATTGGGTCTATCACTTAGTTATCACTGCACTAGGAGGGCGCCGAGTACCAGGACGTGGCGGGCCCGGCCGCCTGCTTGGGGTGGTACAGGTGGAAGCCCTGGTGGTAGAACTGGCTCTGGTCCAGGGTGCCGGTGGAGGCGGCGTAGGCCGCCGCCGTGGCCGCGTCCAGGGTGCTGTGGTAGGCCTGCGGCTTGAGGGGCAGCGGCTGCGCGGGCGAGCCGTCCATGCCGCCGTACTGGTGCCGCAGCACGTCCGAGTAGGCCGCGCTGTCGAACGCCCCCGCCGCGACCCCCGCCGCGTTCAGCTGCTGGTGCTGGTGCTTGTCCCGCGGCGACACGGACGACGGCGGCGTCATGGCGGAGTGGTAGTCCACGGAGTAGCCGCCCGTCGCCGAGTACGACGACACCAGGCTGTTGAAGGCGTCCGCGGTGGCCGAGGCGCCGCCCTTGTTGTTGTGCAGCAGGAACTGGTGGTCGCCGTACGAGCCCTCGCTGCCCGGCGGCGTGGGCAGCGGCCCTACGTGGCTGACGTCGCCCGTGTAGTACGACGCGCCGCCGCCGCCCCCGGGACCCACGGAGCCGGCGCGGCCGCCGAGCCCCGGCGTGGGGCCGCCGGCGTGCACGTTGGCTCGGATCACGGACTCGCGGTTGGCGTACAGCTGCCGCAGCAGCGCCGTGGCCGGCAGGGGCGCCGCCGACGAGTGCGGCAGCTGCTGGTGGTTCAGGTGGTGGTTGAGGTGGTGGTGCGCGCCGATCCACTGGATGGTGCTGCGCTGCTGCTGCTGCTTGAGCAGCGTGTCCGCGCTGAAGTCCGTCGTGCCGTGCGGCTGCAGGGACAAGAGCGGCGGGGAGGAACCTGGCGGCGGACAACGACAACGTCAGAGAGGCAACATTTCATCAGTTACGCGCTCCAAATTTACATAGCAGTGAGTTACTTTGAGCCAGTGCGGGAAATTCCCTCCAAATTCTAGACGGGGATTCGCGGAGGGAAAGCCCCACTGCATGCATCCCAGATTCATAGCTCGTTTCCACCCCGTAAGGACTTTGGAAAAAAGTATGATATGAGCATGAATTTATGAATAGGGCGCGTCGTGAAAAATGATGCATTGTCCACCGCGTGGCGGGGCGCGGGCGCGGTGCGCGGCGGCGCGGCGGGCTGAGGGAGGCTGACGGACACTTTGGACGTGACTTGGCTGTCTGATGCCGCGCGCCGTGCGCCGCGACGTACCGGCCGAGGGGCCAGGGGCGGCCATGGGGCCCAACAGAACAGGTGGCCGCAGCTACGCCGCTGGCCCGCCGCTGGCGGACGCACCCGGATGTGGGGACACAGTCGCTACTCACATTTACTTAGGGAGACGGCGGGCAGGTGCTTGGACATGGCGTGCTCCAAGTCCTTGACGGAGGTGGGCGCGGCGTCGCCGCCGTCGTCCGCAGGGTGGTGGTTTACTGCCGACGCGGCCGACGTCACCGTGGCGCTGGCCGTGACGGGCGTGGACGGCGTCGGCGCCGACGTCTTGGGGCTGGCGTCGGCCGTCATGCCGGTGGAGTGGCACGAGGACGACGCCGGGCTGAGGACGCCGGCGCCCCGGCCGACGCCCTGCAGCTGCTGCAAGTGCGGCTGCTTGGTCCGGCTGGGGCCGTCCTCGTCGTCGTCCTCGTCCGACGTGCACAGGCTGCTGTCGTCCTCCGCCATCGACGACATCTTCCTCTTGCTGCCCCGCCGCTGCTGCAGCTTCTTGTTGAGCCCCGGCTGCTGCCCCGGCCTGTGCAGCGGCTGCAAGGGCTGCAGCTGCGTCACGTGGTCGTGGTGTCGACCGCCGCGGTGGTCGCCCGGCGCCTCCGAAGAGCCGTCGTCCAGGTCGGGCGGCGACCGGTGCGTGTCGCGCTGGTTGGACGGGCCGCCACTGCTGTGACCTTCTGCGGAAAAAATAAAATACACCCGTCAGCGAGATTCGAACCAGCGACTTTTGGCGACTGCCCGGCACGACGCTCACCTCCCCTGTCGGCGTCGGGCGATCCGTTCTCCGGGTCGTTGCTGTTGTCCTCGCGCTTCACCGTCTGGATGGAGTCTTCCATCTGGCACGTGTCCAGGATCAGATTGCCGTACTCGCGCGCGCTGCAATCAACAAAGGCCCGTCAGCACGTCAACGAGCGCGTCACGCCGAATAGAGTGGTCACTCCTGCCTCGGCCTTCCTCGGCCACCCGGGCGCCATCGCCCACCATCGCCACCCTCCGCACAGCCTCGCCGGTCCGGAAGCAGACGCACGCCGCGCGCCGCCTGGGTTTGCGTAGCGTCACACGGCGACACTGACAGGCGAAAAAACGGCTGCCCCGAGCGGGAGTCGAACCCACACTCACCTAATGACGTAGTTGACGCAGATGATGTTGGTCTCCTCGGCGTTCTTGGAGCTGCACACCACCGTCGCGCACGTCTGCAGCCACGTGAAGCCGCCGTTCTTGTTCATGAGGCGGTAGTAGTGCGTCAGCACCTGGCCCTTGTTGATCACTGCGGAGAGAAAAACAACGGTTATGGTCGTGGGTTCAAATCCCCGGTCGCGCCTTTTCCTGTCCCCGCAGGGTGACCACCCTCCCACTTGGCCGGGCCGCCTCGCCGCGCTGCCCACTGCACTGCAGTCCCCACCGCCCTGGGCTCGGCCCTGGGGGACAGCGGCTCCGGCCGGCAGCGCGATCATTATTTTATATTGCCAATTCCATAAGCGCTTCCCCGCGACAGGCCTGGGCTGCCAGTAGGCTCATTCCGAACAAGAGCCGTTCCTTCGCCCTGTCTCTGCCGCACTCGTGGTGCGGCCCGTGGGGGTGCGAGAGAGACAGAGCGACGGCGGCTAGCCTCGCGCCAGGCGGCGTCTATCCTTCACTTCCTTCCTTGGCTCCCCGCGGCGGAAGTGCCAAATGACAAAATAGCCACCTGGGAGGGGCAATGGACGCGCAATATTTGAGCGGGAGAGGAGATGGCCGCCGGGAAGCCGAAGGGAAAAGAGTCGCCGAGTGACGGGGGAGGGGCTGCAGAGGGAGAGGCGACTGCCGCGGTGGCGCGCTGCGCTGGGGCTGCGCTGGGGCTGGGCCGGGCTGGGGGGCTGCAAACGACGGACAAAGTGTAAGGGGGGACAAAGGTAAAGGGAAAGCAATGCCCAGCGATACATGGAGGAGGAAACTGGCTGGCAGTGCGTGTGGGTCCCGCTCGGTCCCGCTGCCGGCAGCAGGGCGGCGGGGCGGCGGGGCGGCAGGCAGGGAGGGATGAGGGTTACAGCCAAGTTGAGATGTGGCTCACATCCACGGCAGGGAGACGTGGTCCGCATACTAGGCAGCCGGCGGCGGCGTGGCGGAGGCACGGGGACGGAGGAAGGAAGGAACAAGGGGGAGACGGCCAAGTTTGAAGGGACGCGGAGACGCAGAGGAGACGATGATAAAGAGACAGGGGACTTAGCGACGGGCCCCGGCCAGAGGGCCGCAGAAGAGAGGCCCTCGCCCCCAAGCCGAAAGGGGCAGCCGTTCGCAGATTCCGCCGCGAATTTACATCCTCGTCGTTCGCGCCGCGTGGAGCTGGCTGCTGGATGCCCTTGTGCCCGGCCAGCCCGGCTGGCCGGCCGGCGGGGAGATCCGAACGCGGATCCGAACCCATTGGCAACAGTTCGACGGCGGGGTGGCTGGCGCGCCGCCACCACGCCCGGCCGCGAATGGAGCCGGCAGGTGCACGTCGTGCACCATCCGCACCCCCAGGCTGTTTCCGTCTCTCTCGCACCCCACGTGCAGGTGCGCGAGTGACAGCGACGAAGCACTGTTCGGAATCAGCCTGCCGGGGGTAGGTTGAGGCCGCCCTTGGTGGAATCGCGCTGGAACCGGAAGTGCCCCCGTCCGAAGACGACCGCAGCGCCGCCGGGTTGGACGACCCTTGGAACGCGCTGGAACGCCGCGGGGGCAATAATTCCGTCGAGGGGGTGGCGGGGCGGGGCGCGGCGCGGTGGTGACGGCGCCTGAATGCAAAGCGTGGCTGGTCGCTACCGCCGGGCTGCCGCCGCTTGGCGGGCGGCGCTGTGCGGCGCTGTGCGGCGCGGTCGGAGCCCTGGCCGCCCCGCCGGCGTCCCCCCGGCGTCACATGGGGCACGGAGCAGCACGGAGTGGCTGGCTCGCCGGCCGGCCGCGCCGGGACGGGCACGTCGTCCTGGTCGATCGCCTTCTAGCCCCACGACGGCGCGCGTCCTTCGCACGTCCGAGCCGCCGACACGCCGACACGCCGCCAGCCACGCCGGCCCGTCCAACACGTACAGTGTACCCCCAGCCCAGCCCTAGGGGTGTAAACGCCCGCCACGCCACCCAAAACACAACCGAAGCACTGCTAACCTCCGGGAAACTTGAAAAAATTCGAATCGTTCTTCGATCGGCGTCGTGGTCCCGACCCTCCAGCCTTGGCGGCCCGCACGGCGCCGACCTTGAGGCCGGGCACCGGTCGTGCGGGGCGTGCGGCACGCGCCTCGCGCACGCGGGCGTGATTCGGGGACCTCCGAACCGCGCGACTTGCGCACGCCCCACACGCCCCGCACGCCCCGCACGCCCCGCACGCCCCGCACGCGCAGCGGTCCCCAATCGATATGCTGGAGCACTGCGACCACCTTGCCCCACAATCCGTGCCCCTCCAGCAGCCAGCCAGCTGGGCCGGTTAAAAATGCACGCGGCAACGCGGCGTCGAACCCGCGACCCCGCCCCCCACGGGCAACGACGCAGCCCGCTCGGCTACCCCGGTACTTACGGTCCAGGTGGCACTTCCGCAGGCGGTTGGCGTCCTCGCCGTGGCACAGCGTGTACAGGTTCTTGCCCGTCAGCTCCTCGGCCGTGTAGTCCAGCAGCTCCGACACACGCGGCTCGCAGTGCGCGATCCGGAAGTCGAAGTTGATCCTGGTGACGAACATGTCCGAGTCCAGGCGGATCTCGTGCACCGAGGGCGGCGGCAGCGCGATGGCGATGGCCACCATGCCCAGCAGCGGCGGCGTCGCCTTGCGCGAGTGCGAGAAGCTGCACTGCGGCCGCAGCCGGCACAGCACCAGCACCACCTGGGGAACACACAGAGCAAGGAGAAGGTCAAGCCGAGCCTTTCTCGCCGTCCGCGCCACACTCTCACTGTCTTACTCCCAGTCTCGATGACTCGTAAACGGCCATCGTTGCACCCGTTTCGCGTGGGGCGACAAGCGAGGCGACGAGGCTCCGAAATGGCGTTTCACAACGAACAGCGTCCCGGGGTGCGATGGTGCACTTCGGCGGCGCGCTTCCACTCCGGAACCGCCGCCCCAAGCCCAAGACGCCGCCAAGGCCGCGGCCAAGGCGCCCAAGGCCCTGTTGCAGGCGGCAGTCATCCCCTGGCTCCCTCTCCTGGCGGTCCTGCCGCCTGTCGCTCCGTCTCTCTCGCACTCGCGGGGGCGTCCGGGCGTCCCGCGGGGGTGCGAGAGAGACGGAGCGACGCTGCTTCCTGGCGCCACGCCCCGGCAAATAATAAACCTCGCTTATCTGATCCCGTTAACCCTTTCCGCCCTGCCGGGCCTGGCTTGGCCTGGCTTGGCCTGGCCCAGGCCCTGCCAGCGGTGGCGCGGCCCGGTCGGCTTATCACGCGAAGCTCCTCCTTAACCTAAGCGGTGCCACACACGCGCAGGCCTATCTCAGAAAAAGGGACGCGCGCACACACACAGGCACACTCGTAAAAGCGCACATGAGTTACACACGTGCACACACGCACACACGTGAACACGCCCGGCTAAATGGCCCCTAATTAAGTCTTCCAAAATTTGTCTTATCTCACACGTGCGGCGTAACCGCAGTGGCGGGGAAGGGGAGGGGGGCTGCCCCCCCGCGATGAATCGATGTGAACCTGGGAGTACTAGTGTAGTACGCCCCCTTGCTCTGGAGTGGAGAGAGAAAAAGAGAGAGAGTGCGCGCGAAACAACGCCACCGGGTACCCACTGCTAATGAGACTGTCGTCTGCTTCCTTTCGGCGGTCTCCACCTACGCCACTGTCCGGCGGCTATCTCCCGGAAGCATCGGGGCGTCGGGGAGGCTGCCGCGGTCCAGCCCGCCAGCCAGTGGCCCAGCCAGCCGGCCGGGGAGGACAACTCCCGAAATAAGAACTAAAGCCCGTATATATACGAGCTCATTAGGGGGCGTAACAATTAACTGGATGCGGACGGGCGGCGGGGCGGCCGACTCCATCTCAGGGGCCTTCTTCTCCTCCTCGCCCTGGTCGTCCCGCGCGTCCCGTCGGTGGCGCACAGTGGGCCAGAAGACCGGTGGAGGCGGACAAAACTCTAGACGCGTTTTGAGCTCCAGAGTCGCTAAACAGGCCTCGGACCGAACGTGTGACCCCACCAATGGATTCCTCGTGGTGATAGCATTCCATCGGTGGGGTCACACGCTCGGTTCGTCCTATTTCGCGACTCTGGCGCTCAAAACGCGTCTGGAGTTTCGTCCGCCTCCACCGGCCTTCTGGCCCACTGTGTGGCGCCCCTCCCCCTCCGGGCGGTGTAAACACCGTGCTAAAAAGACGCGTAACGGCGTCAAAGTTTTCGGGGGCACCGCCGCACGGCCGCCGCACGGCCGGCACGGCATCTGTGGCGGGGACTAATCCCCGGCGGGATGAGGCCCGTTAACTCGGTCGGCTTCGGTCCGTCCCCGGGGGAGGTCGCTCTGTCTCTCTCGCACCCCAGCGCCCCGACGCGCCGCCCCGTGCGCGCGAGAGAGGCAGAGCGCGCGGCCCAGACTACGTGCCCGCCCAGACGCGCACCGCGCACGCCAACAAGGCCTCCGTGCATTCGGCTCAAGAGTTTCGCTCCCCGCCTTGAAACGCGGAGGCAGACTTTGCCTTGAGATTAGCCCGCAGCCCCAGCACCGCTACATTAACCATCCACTTTTGTTAGAACTACATTTTAAGAGGCCTCGCTTTTCATGCAGGAAGTGTAAGGAAGAAGTGCGACCTAAACGGAGAGTACCCACCCACTACACTCTTGGTCAGTGGAAGAAGGAAGGATACGCAATGTTCTACGTTTTTAACAACAAATTGCACATGACAAAGAAAATTGAAATGAGGTGGAAGTTGCTTTTAGAGAAACATGCAGCTACCATACCAACATCCCCACCGCGCTGTCCCGGTCCCTAACACCTGAGGAAGTCGACAATGATTTTGAGAGAGTTAAAGACAGTTCGCTTGCCAGCTTGTATCACACACACACACAGACACTCGAAAAAAGCTCACTGCGTGCTGTTTCTCAAATCTGTAATTCGGAACGGACCGGAAATGGCGGGAATAAATCGAGATGCAGCCTTCTGGGTCTGTCAATCCTGGGACCCGGAAATGAGCTGCAAAAATCGGAATGATGTCGAGAGCGGTGGATCGGGACCGGGACAGCACGCCCGTCTAGTCTGGAGACAAAACAGAGGACTTGTCCAGCTAGCGACGAAATCGGAAACCGAGCCAAGACTCAGTCTTACCTGGTATCCACTCGACTCTGCCGGGTGGCTGGCGTTGACCTACAGCACGGGGCAAGAAGAACACGCATGGGTCACAACGGTCACAACAAGCTGGCAAGGTCGCAGCGTGTGCTGCCGAGAACTCACGAAAACCACCATCATTGCCTACCCGACGGGAAACGACACAACTCCACCCTCAACCAGCAAGCAAAGGGCTCGGACGCAGCTTCGTGCTGCTTGCTGCGCGAAGCGGGAATAGGGTTGCCACTTACCCGGTACCCAGACGACTTGAAGTGGCACCCCCTCTTGGTGAGGGTGGACTTCATCCGCACGCAGAAGGACCGCTCCAACCCCTTGTACCCCGTGGTGGTGCTCAGCGCCATCTGGGTGGCCACTGCGGACAGAGACAGAAACAACACTGTCACATTGTACGCAAAATCAGCAAAATAAATTACTGAAAAAAATAAAAATTATTTTTAAATTTTTTTTGTTTGTGATGACGTAATTTACACGAAGGGCGGCCAATCGCGCGACGCCATCGTGAAACAATTTCATATGAGATGGACGGGCGATAAAGACGACGGGGAGGTGCGAGGGACGCCGTCGTCGCCCGTCCGGGCCCCCTTCCACCCCCTTCCACCCCCTCCCCCTTTCACGGCGCCGCTTCAATTCCTTGGGCCGTCGTTGGCGTTCGGTCAATCGTGGCGATTTCAGATTGTCTCGACGATCAGGTCGGCGATGGCCTCGGCGCCGAGCCCCGCGCGCCCCGCGCCCCGCGCGGTCCCGGAGGAGGACAAGAAGGAGACGAGGAAGACGTGCGTCCGTCCAGTCACCCGAAGGACCGTCGCTCTGTCTCTCTCGCACCCCTACGCGGCGCCCCACGAGTGCGAGAGAGACAGAGCGACGAGGCGGCGTAGAAAGGGCCTAGCCGGGCGGCATGACGGATGGCGAGGCTTTCGTTATGATGTGTCGTATATCGGATTGCCCGCTGGAGGGACGCGACGCGGGTCAGTTCCGTCCGGTGCCGACAGAGCGCCATCCACTACCAGCAGGAGGCGCGACTTTTATTAAAACGCGCCCGCCCCGGCGGGTATTCGAACCTCGGCCCTGCCCGCCCTGTCCTGCCCGCGCAGCAACAAGCTGGCGTACCCTTTCCTCGCCAAGACGCCGTCCGGAATTCCGAATAGGGCGCGGCGTGGCGTGGCGTGGCACGGGGCACGCACGTGCGCGGCCATGCAGCCATGCATCCGGCAGCGCGCGGCAGCGCCAAAACAATGTGGAATTGCAGCCGTGTCGGCCGGGGGAAAATGAGAGGGGTCGAATTAAATTTCCGTTCAGAGTAGGAAAGCATGGAAGAGAGCTGGGGTGCTGCTTCGGCGCCTGCGAGGTAGGCACTCCTTCTGACCCGCAGCGCACCGCGGTTCGACGGGACTGCCTACGCTGCCCCTGCGCGCCTGGGAGGTAGGCATCCCAACGGGTTCGCTACGCACCGCTGTTCAACGGGACTGCCTACGCTGCCCCTGCGCGCCTGGGAGGTAGGCATCCCAACAGCCCGCAGCGCACCGCTGTTCAACGGGACTGCCTACGTTGAGGAAGGCGCCAAGGAGCGTTTACAGGGTGCGAGTCAGGAAAGGAGCGGGAAATGGAGGGACAAGGACAAGGCGGTGGATACAGCGTCCTGACGAGACGGCCTGCCAAATCCCAGGGATTCTATTTCATGCGCTCGTTTCGGCCTTTGGAGTATACCCAGGGGTCGCGACACCTGCTGATCCTGTAGCTCTGTGCCGCCGGGTACAGTCGGACGCACCCAACGCGGTCGTTTGTCGCGACGGACTCCAACCCGTTATCTGGCCATCGGCGACTAGGTGCGACTAGCTGGGCCCTCCCCGGCGAGCGGACGGCACGGCGCAGGCGGACAGACCTGCGCGCGGACAGAATGCCTGATGGCAGCGGCCAATCGATGTCTGTCTGAGTTGCGCCCCGCCGCCTCTCCGGCCCCTACCGCCAGCCCCGCCCGGCGGCCCCGCCCGTGTTTCGCTACAGCCCTCCAGCGCGTCCAACGCCGTCCAAATTTAACGCGCCAACGTCCAAATCTCACCGTCCGGGTTCATGGTGCCCGTGTTGGAGGCGATGCCTTCCTCGGAGCCCGCGCTGGCGGGCGAGGCGAGGCCCTGGCCGCCCTGGGGCGCCAGGCCGAGCCCCAGCTGCTCGGCCACCTCCTGGTGGTCGGCGTGGTGCACGTAGTCGAACACACTGCTACCCGTCATCTCCACCTGCAAACACAAAGAGTTCGTTAAAATAATAACAAAGAAATATTCAAACACGAAAAACACTAGAAAAACGAAATTCGAAACAAAACTCTGCGAGAGCGGCACCAGATTCGAGTACCGCCCTCGGCCAGCCGCATTTTCCGGGCCACCGGCTTCCGATTCTCATCGGAAGCGACGCCGACGCGTCGCCAGCCCCGGCAAGGCGCGAGGCGCAAGCCCGGCCTGGCACGGATTCGAACCGGTACAGCACGGCGCGGCACGGCACGGCACGGCACGCGGGTGCAGCTCTCTGTGGTGATGACAGTGGTAAGGGGGGTGGGGCGAGGGGGCAGGCCGGGTGGACGTGACGAGATAGCCCCGTGCAAAACGTAATATCGGCCGGGGGAAGGGGAGGGGGCAGGCGGGCGTACGTGACTGGCCGGAAGTGGCAGCCATTTTGTTTGTGCCTCCCCCTTCCCGCCTGCCGTCTCTCTCTCCCTCTCTCTCTCTCCGCTGCGGAGCCCCGCGCGGAGCCCCTCCCCCTGCATGTCGGGTTCCCCCTCCTCCATTTGCACCCCCAGCCCCGGGCCCCGGCGAGGCCCCGGCCGCCGCCCTGCCGCCGTTCCGCTGGGCCTCATCTCCTATTTTCACCTCCTAACCGAGCTGCGTGTCCGCAGTACGTATTTCAATTTTGGCGGTGATTTTTTTTTGGGCCGCTGCCGGGTTTACGCTGCTGCCTCCGCGCGTCGCCGCGTCGCTGCCGGCCAGTGGGATTCAATTACCCGGATAAACAGAGCGGCTTTGGCGGGGCGGGCGGGGCACGCCACTGCAAACAGTGACCGGCAGAGAGCGCTGCCCAGTGTGCCCGCCGAGGCGTGCCGCCAAATGGCCAGCGCAAACACGACCGAATCCCCGCAAATAGGGCGCGGACCAGCGGCCGCCGCACAGTGGGCCAGAAGACCGGTGGCGGCGGCCAAAACTCTAGACGCGTTTTGAGCTCCAGAGTCGCTAAATGGGACTCGAGCCGAACGTGTGACCCCACCAATGGATTCCTCGTTCGGAGAGCAATCCATTGGTGGGGTCACACGTTCGATTCGAGTCCCATTTAGCGACTCTGGAGCTCAAAACGCGTCTTGAGTTTTGGCCGCCGCCACCGGTCTACTGGCCCACAGTGCGCTGTCTCTCTCGCACTCACACGCCGCACGGGTGCGAGTGAGACCGACGAAGCCACACCACCGCGCTCAACACTCTAGCTTTGGAGCTACCTGGACATTGCTTTCATCCGCCCACCTGGCCACCGTGCCCACCACCAAAGTCTGGCCGGGGCTGCGGGCGGACGGGCCGAGTGAGTGTGGCCGCCGTGCGCGCTTCAAGCTTTGCTCGGCGACGCCATGTCGCGCATGTCTGATACCGAGGACAAGGTGGAGGGAGAGAGAGAGTGAGAGAGAGAGAGAGAGAGGGGAGAGAGAGAGAGAGAGGAGAGAGAGAGGAGAGGGGGGGGGAAGGGGTCCTCCAAGGTATCTGGTATGGACGACGCGCGGCCGACGAGCAACAACAGAAACGCGGTGGGCTTTAGGCTTGAGCCTCGCCGGCGAAAGGATTAAGCCACCGTAAAAAAAGCCCTGGGTCCCCGATAGAAAAACGAATGGCCGAAGAACCTGGGGCCGAGGCAGGTTTGTTCTGCGCTTATCGTTTATCAGAGAGGCGGAAAAAGGCAGGGCGATTCCCGTTCCGTGGAATGTCCCAGGCACTGGCTATCACAGTGTAGGTGAGGGGAGTCGGGGCGACCGGCCGAGCCACGGCGCACTGAGCACGGTGAGGTTGTTTTCGGTGCATTTTGTTCCCCTTCACAAGCTGCATGACGCCCGTGCTGATGTCTGTACGTGTGCTCGGGGGAGCCCGGAGCCCTGGCTCGCCCTGCCGGGGGTGGCTCTGCTGCTGGGACCTTGGGGGTGGCGGGGGCGGCGCGGGGGCGGCGGGGGCCCTCGCATTAGGGATGGGCGAGGGAACGCGGAGAACGTGAGCTGAATTTGGGCGGGCCTCACGGTGTGCCCCACCCCCGCGCCCCGGCGGCCCCGGCACGGCCCCGGCACGGCGCTCCCATTGGTCCACGTGCGCCCCTCCCGCGCCCCTCGCGCTAGGCCCCGCCCCTCTCTCTCGCTCTCTGCAGCTGACGGCGCCGCGGCCGCGGGGCTGGGGGCTGGGCGGGGTGGGCCGGGGCCGACGGGGTGCCCTGACGGCCATGTTCCCCGGCGCCCCCTTCGGGCACCCCCGTCGGGCACCCCTTTTGGCCGGCCACCCTTCCGCCGCAGTCAAGTACCTCATTGCCACTGCGTTGTAGCGCAGAGCTTGCGCGACCCCGGCGAAAAAAAGGCGCCAGCGCCGGGATTTGAACCCGCGGCCCCCCGGATGCACCGCACGGCCTGCGCGCCGCGGGGGGTCAGGCCGGTGTTGTGATACACGAGGGGCATGGCCGGCACGGGGCGTGGCGGGGCGTGGCGGGGCGTGCGCGCGTGATGTGCCCCTCAACAACGGCGACGTGGACGTGGCACGCTCGCCGACACCCCCACACACCCTGCAGGCAGCCAGCCCCGGGCCGTGCCAGCCCCGGGCCGTGCCAACCCCGGGCGGGCCGGGTCAGGGGCGGCACGCGGCCGCCGCCACGCCGCGCGAGGTCTAGGCGGCCAGAGCGCGGAGGGGCGGTCACGTCGACAGGGTCACGCGCAAGACGGACCTGACCGCCCCGCCGCGCCCCGCCACGCCCCGTCTGGCCGCGTTCCCGCGGCCCGGACTGAATTTTAAGATAATGACGCCTCACACACGTAGCGCCGGCCGTGCCGGGCTGCCGGGGCCGGGGGGGAGCCGGCGCGCTCGTAGTGGCGTAGGACGGCAAGACGGCGAGACGGCCGTGAATGCAGTGCTGGCGGTCAGCGGCCACGTCCCGGCCCGGCCGACGGCCCGACGGCCCCCTCCAGTCCTCCAACGAGTGCACCGGGGTCCCGACCGGCGTCCACGCGGCGCCAATCACAACAGGTGCGGCCGGCACCGAGCACACGGCGGAGATCGTCGCGGAGGACAAACACCATCCCGGGTAACAGTGCGACGTGCCGGACCGGCCTGACGACGTTCGAACACTCGAACACGCTTACGGCCGTCGACGTCGCGGTGGCGGGGCGGGGCGCGTCACAGTGACCTCACGTCGGGGCGCCCCGCCACGCCCCGCCACGCCCCGCCACGCCCCGCCACGCCCCGCCACCCCAGCGCCAAGGCACGTCCCGCCAATCTGCCCCACAAGCCGAAGCAGGCCAAGCAGGCCAAGCAGGCCAGGCAGGCCAGGCAGACACGGACGATCCCGAATCAGAACGCGTGGCTTTATCAATCGGCCCGGCCGGGACAGGGGGTGCGGGTGGGGGCGGCCGGGAGGATGCCGTCGTCGGCGTGGCCGGGGCCCGGGGCACGCACCCCGCAGAGCCGGCAGAGCCTGCGAGGAGTTAATTTCACTCCGAGTCCACACGCCGACGCCGCACGCGAATACAAAATCCGAGGCCCCCTCCCCCTCCCCTGGCTCCTTCGCGGTGACCTATATCATGGCAAAGAGCCCTCGCGCCGCGACTCACTCGCGACCAGCCCAACGACCCGTGAAACGGTTCCGCGGCGGCTCGTTGCCGATGCAGAGCGCGCCCCCGAAAAATTGGCGCCGAAATAAAAGTTTCAAGTGCACAGCGGGGCCTCGCCAATTGATCTGCGCGCCGCCCTTTTTAACAAGGGACACTGACAAAAATGAATCGGAAACTTGAAAAAAAAAAAGCACTGAATGAAAGAAGTACAGTAAAAGAACTCACCTGTGACAGCCCGAGGTAGATGGAGACGGTCTCGGAGATGTACAGAAAGCGGCCGTCCGCTCCGAGGGAGAAGGCGAAGCCGTCCAGACTCTGTGGAAAAGGTTCAACGTTCAAGACACAACCGCAAAGAGAGACCGAAATCACGCGTCAGACCAACTTTGGGGCAACACTGCTCCCAAACCAAGGCGGATAATCGCACTCCGCAGAAAAGGCATGCCAAAGGAAGCATCACAGAATACGGCCCCGTTGACGGAAAGCATTTTTCCGCATTGGATGAGACGCAGTGGCCGCCTGAAGTCAGCCCAAAGCACGATTTCCGCACATTCGTTATACTGTTCGCAGGGCGGGGCGCGGGGCGGGCCGCCCGGCAGTCGGGCCGCCCAACGTCCGGGCGCGTCGGGCGCGTTGCCTACCCGTGGACCAGCAGGCGCCGGCCGGCCAGAGGGTGGCGCGCCGTGGCGAGGCGTGGCGTGGCGAGGCCAGGCAATAACACACACAGCACGTCCCCGGCGAGGCGTAAACCTCTCGCCGAGAATGAGCAGCACTGCGCCGCATCAGCGCGCCTCGTCGCTCCGTCTCTCTCGCACCCTTACGGGACGCCCCACGAGTGCGAGAGAGACGGGAGCAGTGTTCAGCCTGCAGCCGAGCAACCCGCGCAGAGCCAAGTAACGGCCGCAAGAGAGAAATTGAAAAAGTGGGAAAAAAGGGCGGATGGTCTCAGATGATCAGGGTTGTCTCGCGACGCGGGAAGAGGCGGAAAACTTGGCGCGGATACCACAACCTGAGCCGTGCTCGATTTTCACGCCAAACGGTAGAAAGAAGCCGCTTTGGACATTGGAATTGATGTCGCGTATTGGAAGGACGGAAATACAATTGACAAGGGGAGCGACCAAGATGGCACACGATACGGACCTGTAATATATGGGTTCCTTGGTGCTGCTCGAAGAGATCCATTGCCATGCCCGCTCGCGACCGCATCGGACCTGCGACAAAAAACAAAAAACACATCCCATTCAATTTTCATGAAACGTTACACTGCAAGGGTGGCGGGAGTGGCGAGGCGGGCGCGGATCGCGAAGAAGGCCCTGCTGGACCGCCAGGCCGCCAGGCGACACTACAGTGCAGTGGCCAGAGGGACTAGGGACAAGCCTCCTTGCAGAAAAAGGGCGTTGTGCGTGGAGTTCCTGCCAGAGCGCCATGCAAAAGTGGTTGAATAAGGCTCTTTTTCTGTCTGTCTGTCTTAAGTCGGGGATTGTCACGTGACCCGCCGGGGACACAGTGGCCTGGGCACCGAAAGTGCCGGTGGAACACGCGCTGGTGGGGCCGAGCCGAGCCAAGGCGGGCACAGTCTTTGCAGCGACAACTTTTCCCACTTTCTGGAGGAAACAAGAACTAAGTTTGCGGCCGTGCCAAAGACAGCCGCAGGGCTCAATATAAACAACTTGGCGTCGCTACCATGTGTCTCGTCGTCGACGGCGGTGTTTTCGGGAGGTGTTTTCAGGGGGTGTTTTCAGGGGGTTTTAGAAGGGTGTTTCAGAAGGGTGTTTTAGGGGCGCGCCCAGGAAGTGCTATCTAAACCACTCGACAAAAATTCACCGAAAAAATCCCGGCCGCCAAACCAGAGTGTCACTCTGTCTGTCTCTCTCGCACCCTTACGGGACGCCCCACGAGTGCGAGAGAGACAGCGAGCGACGACCGCGAAACCGCGCCGAGACAAATAAAAGGCGGGACGGCTGCATTACACGGCCGCGCAAATAGAGCGAAAAATATGGTGTGTTTTCCCGCACCACATTACTAGAGGGGATTGTCCGGAGCCCCCTAACGGCCCCATAAGGACTCGAGGACCGGCAGCGCAGTAGCGAGGCAGCGCAGTAGCGAGGCAGCGCAGCCACTGGCAATTTATATACCTATGCAAATGCGGCGCTGTCTTTTAAAGTGAAGAAGAGAGGGCGCCGGCTTAGAAAGCAGTTTGAGAAAATCTTTATGCGTCTTTGAAAGGGTGAGGTTGGGGGCGGCGACTCCGCTGCAGCAGGTTAGATTACCTCCTGGAGGTCATCAAAGTGCCGCGGTGGTGGTTTGCCCGCAGTGCGACGCAGTGCGACGTCGCAAAGCAAGAAGCCAGAGACAGTTAAAAAAAAAAAGATTTAAAACCTTCGTTCTGTCGCTTTCAATCCCTGCGAAACCTCGTGGGGCTCGCGACGGCGGGAAAAACATAAAAACAAAAACCGGCCTCGTCGCAATCGAATCCGCCATCCGCCAAGTCGATGAGCATAAATCCATCGCCGCGAGGAAATAAATAAATAAATATATAAAAAAAAACGGGCTGTTGTGACACCTCCGGCCGACCGCAACAAGCGCCAGGAGGGGTGAAATAGGCCAAGTTAAAACCGCCACGCCATTTCCCCCTTCGCGCTCTGCTTCAAGGCCCTCGAGGCCCTCCCCTACACAATCCCAGTAACACATGTTTCCCACACGATTCAGGTGGGAGTGATACATGTTGTACATCACATATGTTGCTTCTTCCTGCGATCCCCCTTCGCACAGCGTGTGTGTGTGTGTGAGAGAGAGAGAGAGAGAGAGAGAGAGAGAGAGAGAGAGAGAGAGAGAGAGAGAGAGAGAGAGAGAGAGAGAGAGAGAGAGAGAGAGAGAGAGAGAGAGAGAGCGCCTCGCAGTTCACCCCCCTGCATATGTGCGCGCCCGCCCCTGTGTGAGTGTGTGTGTGTGTTGTCCTATAATTTATGGTGTTCATGGGTCTTCCCTCCCGGCGAGGAGGCCTGCTGCCGGGCCCAGCCGCCCGGACCGCCCGGTACACGCGATATCATATGAGAAATTGATCCTGCCTTTCGGACTAAGGGCCAACAAATAGGCGGGTAGAGCGGGTCTGTCCGGGCAGACTGCCGCGGCCGAATTCGCTGTACCGGTGCGTGCTCTGGTTCGGGGACCAGCCCCAACGCTCCCTTTCTCTCTCTCCACTCGTTCGAATGTATCTTCCCCGGCGTCTCTGAAAACCGTGCACTCGCGAGTTGGCTGGGGTTGACACTGGAAGGGGGACGGCCAGGCTGCCCCGCACCCCTGGAGCTGGACTCCAGCCTGGAGGCGCTGGAAGGCTGGAAGGCTCCCCCTCCCCGTCTGTCCGGTGCACTGGCTGCAGCTCGGCTTACTCGGGCCATATTTCTCGCCTGACACCAGTAATATTGCTCAATTGGTTGGCTGATATGAGGTGTTATATATACGGCGGTTTTCCCTTTTGGCCGCGTCAGACCCCTGCCGGCCCTGCCTCGCCCTTGGCCTCGCCCTTGGCCTCCCTCGCACCGCCCTCACAGTCGCCAGGTCCCGCGGTCGAGCATTTCTATTTCACAAATACGGAAAAAAGGGAGAAAACGGAAAAAAAATTATCAGCGGGGCACTTGAAGAGAAAAGTCAAAACGGAAAAAAAAACGACCTATTATGTTGACTTTGTCGTGTCAATCACCCAAAAGAATCTAAATTTCTCTTTGATTTGCGATTTAACTTTTTGGACAGTGCAAGAGTGCAGCAGCTACCCGAGGTAGGAAATACACAGCAAGAGAGTGACAAAGATCTCCGTGTAATTGCCAAACGAATTAATTCTCGCCCGGAAATAAGCGCGATGATATATAGTGGCGCCCCGAGAGGGCCAGGGCCGCCAGGGCCGACACCCACTGGATTAATCTTTGTCGCGGACGCCTGTCGTCTTCGATCGGCTCTTAAAAATAGCCTGGTGGAAAACAGGAAAGTCGCGAAAGGAGAGAGCACTGCAAAAACGGGCACAGAGTACTACAGAACGAAGAGCGAGTAGAGTTAGTTTTTCTAGTGCGGCGGTGATGGAAATTAGTTCGGCGCAATCAAATCTAGCCGCGCATATTTTCCCCCGAGAAACTCATGAAATGTTGCTGATTCTGGGCGTCCACGCCGACATCGCGCCCGCGTGTCCCCCGAAAGGGAGTCAATAAAAGAGGGCGGATGATTGGGCCGAGGGGGGTGGGGGGAGGGGGGAGGGGGAGCGGGACGAGAGATGATGTGATGTCTGTCCTTTACTACTCTAACGATATTAGTGTCTCCGCCATGTCTTTATTACCCCGACATACGGAATCGCATGTGTGGGTGTGGCAGGCGGGCGGACAGACGGGCAGACAGGCAGACAGACGGACGGAACGGCGTGACATGTTGGCGGAGCCGAGCCCAAAAGCTGACAAAAGGGACGAAACGCGTCATAATTGAGTCGTATGCCCCGCGTTTGTGTTGTGTGAATTTCCCTCCAGGGCTGGCTGCGCGGGGGGTGGGGTGGGGTGGGGCTTTCATTAATGGTGGCGCGACGACGATGACGCGACGCGCACCGACCAGCATTAGCAGGTCCCATTGAGCAAGCGGCTCGGCACGCCGCGCGACGCATACAGCACGGGTCACTGCGTCGGGCGGAGCGATTCGCGACCCGGAGGCACGTGTACACACAGAGTGAGGTTCCCACCCATATTGACCCCCAAAACCCTCCCCATGACTTTCGAAGACATTTCTCCAGACATTTCTATGCAGATCATTGCCACATGGGAAAGAGGATTTTTCAGTTTCGTACGGTCACCAAATTCTTTCGTTTTCCTGTACGTACATGCCTCGATTGAAAGCCATTGCTCCTCAAAAGTTGAAAACAAAACGCTCGCTCTGTCTGCAGCAAGGGTCCTTTTTCCAGTGCCGCGCCGTGCCGGGGGCGTGATTCGAACCACGGCCGGCACGGCACGGCCCGGCACGGCCCGGCACGGCCGCCCGAATAGGCTTGATTGAGCCACCGCCATCCTCAGCCAACAGGCTGATTCCGGACGCGGGTGCCTCGCCGCCCGGTCTCTCTTGCACCCCTCTCTCGGTCCCCGCGCGTGCGAGAGAGACAGAGCGACAGCGCCACTTCGGAACGAGCCTGCAGCCGCACGCCGGCGTCGTTAGCGGTCAGAGCCACCCTGCCACGACTGGCGTGGCGTGGCGTGGCGTGGCGGGGCGTGGCGGGGCGGGGCGGGGCGGGGCCCGGCAGGAGGGGACGCGCGAGGCAGAGCGAGGCCTGGAATTAAGCGAGTTTAGTTTACAATAAGTGCCGCATAATTCCATCAAGAGCCCCACGCAAACGCAAATTTGATTTACCTTGTCAATGGCCTTGTTGCAGCGCGCTGCAGCCGGCGGGGAGGCGGAGGACCGGTTCGGGGGTGCGCCGCGGGGCGGGGCGGGGCGGGGCGGGGCGGGGCGGGGCGGGGCGGGGGCGGGGGGGGCGGGGCGGGGCGGGGGGGCGCGCGGGGGTGGCCGCGTGGCGCGCGCCGCATTCTCACACATAAGATTATTTATTGGCCACCAAGGGACGCAGCCCTCGGCCCCGCCGGCCGGCCGGTCAGGCGGAGACACTCAGGGACAGGTCGTCCAGGACGAGACCAATCCCGAGTAGTGGATACCGACTGCTGCCAAGAGCGTGAAAAATTCATGAAATCCGCTGGTGGACAGTGTGGCGACCGTGGGATTGGTCCGAGCCATCGCGCAAGGTCGAAAGTATTGCCTCTGGTTGGTGGAGCACGCCTCTGCACCGACACGTCCCCCTCGCCCCGCCGCGCCACTGCTAATCCGAGCTGTGTGGAAAACACCGAGGTCGGCCGCGGCTCGTTTTAATTGGCCGCTAATTGACGAAAAGTTGTTACAAGTTGAAGTGGAGGCGAAGCGCGACTCCCTCAAAAAGAGGCGGAGAAGCAGAAACTCCGTCTCTCTCGCACCGACGCGGCCCGCCCCGCCAGTGCGAGAGAGACCGAGGGCGGGGCGGCGCCGAAGGGAGACGGGGAGGGCGGCCGTGGAGTGGCGCGAAGCGCGAACAACCCGCCATGATTTCATTTGAATAATGTCAATATTTTGAGGGGCGCGCATTAAACGCGCATAACATCGCCCCGGGCCACGCCGCCGTCGTCTGGAGGGACAGGGGCGGCCAGGGCGGCCAGGGCGGAGGCGACGCCGCGCGGCCAATGGGAAGAGCGCGGCCCTGCTCGGAGTTATCGCCAGTAATTCTGTTCTCGGAGAGACGGAAGAGGGAAGGAAAATAAAAAGTCCGGCTTGGCACGGCGCGCCGCATGGCGCCGCATCTGCGACGGAATAAACAAGAGAACGCAGCGCCGCCATAACCTCAAAATGTGCCGTGTCCTTTGTCTGCGCGACCTCGCGCTGCGCCACGCCGTGCCGTCAGGTGGCCTCGCCGAGTCGTGCCCCGCCGCGTCGTGCCCAAAACGCGAGGCATTCCGCGCACGCAGCGCCCGCGGCCCGCGCGTGCCTGCCTCTGTGCGTTGCCTCCGCGCGCGTAAACCAGCGGACATTGGGCGGCCCGGGAAGCCAGCGCACAGTGGGCCAGAAGACCGGTGAGGCGGCCAAAATTCGAGACGTGTTTTGAGCTCCAGAGTCGCTAAATGGGACTCGAACCGACCGTGTGACTCCATCAATGGATTCCTCGTTCGGAGAGCAATCCAATGGTGGGGTCACACGTTCGGTTCGAGTCCCATTTAGCGACTCTGGAGCTCAAAACGCGTCCGGGATTTAGGCCGCTCCGCCGGTCTTCTGGCCCACTGTACAGCGGCGACATCGCGAGCAACAGCACAGTGGTGGTCGAGGAAGTCGCGGTGGAAAAGGTTTCCGACTGGAGGTAGCTGGCGGTGGTATAGCGCTCCACCGGCAAGGCGGGGAGCACGGGGTGCCGCAGGGCGGCCGCCACCCTCGTCATTTCCTCGTCGGCCAGTCGCTCTGTCTCTCTCGCACCTATGGGGGACGCCCCGTGAGTGCGAGAGAGACAGACGAGGCGGCAAGTGGCGCTGCGGGTCAGCGCGGCGGTCCGAAGCAGGTGGTCAGTAAGACGCGCTGCCTCCCCCGCGGCCACGCCGCCGCCAAGCCGCCACCGCACCGCCCCCAGGGCCATCGGCGCCGCAGCGATCGCCCGTAATTCCCCCTCACAGGCTGTCTCTCTCGCACTCGCGGGGCGCGCCGCAGTGCCGCGGGGGTGCGAGAGAGACAGACGGGCCCCAGCTGGACGGCCAGCTGATTCCGGCTGTTCCTTTCAATGGCTCGACGCGGCGAAAGGTGTCGGGGGAGATGGCGAAAAAAGTAAACACCGCGCAGGGGTGGGAGGGAGAAAACGGAAGAAAGTATTCGGGCAGTTCTCAGTGCAGTGCGGGTTCTGGCTGAATGAACTTCCGGCCAATGAGCAGCAATCAAGGTCCGACGGTTGACCGACCGGAGGCCAAGGAGGCCGTGGGGGAGGCCGGCGCCGGCGGGCTCGGGCCAACACGGCCTCGGACAAACGATTAGAAAAACGCCGTCTCCTTTTCGCGGCCCGTCAAAATCTGCTTCGACTTCCTCGCTGCCTGACTTGGATGCGAAGCACGCGTTGCTTGGACAGCGGCCGACGCGCCGGGGGCCACGCCGTGCCACGCCACGCCACGCCACGCCAGGACGGCGATAATCCGATAACTGGTCAGACTGCCTCCCTCTCTCTCCCTCCGCAGGTCTCCGCTACCCTTTCCGCAGGACTGCCGGCCGGGGCTAGAGGCCGGGACTAGAGGCCACCGCAGGGGTGCAGCAAGGAGATTTCCTCCATAGCCAGGGTCTTGGCGGGGTCCTGGCGGGGTTCTGGCGGTCCTGATTGCACTGAGTCACGCCGCGGCCCGCGGCGGCGTCGAGGCCGAGGAGGAGGCCGAGGAGGCCGACCGGACTGACCCCAGCCCAACCCCAGTCGGCCGGAGGGCGCGTTCCACTAGGCGTTCCGCCGCGCGCGCATCCAGCCGGAAAACGGACCCACAAAACTGACCGCAAAAGTGACCGGGACGAGCGAGGCGCAGGCCGCCTGGTCGCGACAACGCCCTGATGGAGTACGCAGCGCGGCACACTGTGGAGAAAAAGACTTCACTGTCGCCGTTTTGACCGACCAGGGGTTGGTTACATTCCTTGGCAAGGGCCTCCGAAAAGAAGGCCCAATGTCCACCGCCGCGTCGAGGAAGAACGATCTGCCACCTTAAATTGAACGCAGTGGCCGCCCAAAATCAGCCCAAATCGCGGTTTCCAGACCGAAATAGTGAGTGGTCGTCAGTTGTCCCCTCCACGGCGGCAGATTCGAAAGCAGCGCGTTTTCTGGCCGGGTGGTGCCTTGCAGTGCCTTGCGGTCGGCGCGCTCCCTTCCCGCCCCTTCCCCTCGCCGCCCGTCAGTCACACTGTCACTTTGCAGTGCTACCTGAGACCGTATCACGATTGGATTAGTCGTCCTCCGCGGACTACAATGACAGAGGCGCCCCTTTCGCCCGGAGGCTGAACTTTGGGGCTGGAAACTCCGGCGGCTCAACTCTTTGGCAACAAACCGACAAGGCGGTGTCTTTCCTCGAGCTGCCAGTGACACTCGGCGGAGTTGAAAGCTGTCGTTCGAAACAAGGAAGACTGCTTTCAGAGAGGCGCAGAGACTCTCCGAAAGCGATTCGCTCCAAGTCGGTTTTGTCACGAAGGGTTTCGAATTTTGGCCGCCTCCACCGGTCTTCTGGCCCACTGTGCACGGCCTGCAGGGCCTCCAGGACCTCCACTGCCGGGCCGCGCGCCCATAAAGAAGATGCGTCGCGAGATAATTTCGCGAGGCACCAATTAAGCAGGCAAACGGCGCCAAACACGATACGCAATTAGACCGAGATAAACCCTAATAGTATTCACTCTTTGACTTATGGCCGCCTGGGCGGCCGGTCACCTTACCTCTCTCCGTCTCTCTCTCCCGGTAGGTAGGGTGACCAGAATTATATTGTGAAATATGCGGGGCCGCTTTATCTCCGCATGCCCCGCGGTATGCGGGTTGTTATCTAGAGTGGAACCCAGTGGCACAGGGACGCGAAGCCACCGGTCTTCTGGCCCACTGCAGTGCACTGTGGCGGTCGGTACTCACCCTTGGCGTTCTTGGCGGGCGGCGGGTCCCTGGACCAGGGCGGCTCGCCGTGCCCAGAGAAATCCCTAAGTTTGAGGTAGGAGATGGTGAGGCGGATGATGGAGGCCTTGTCCAGCTGGGTGGTGATGGCGCCGGGCAGCGGCAGCATCTTGGCCAGCTCGTAGAACTCGGTGTTCTCCTTGTTGCGCCGCGACCGCGCCGCGTCCCTCGACTTCTCCTTCCGGAGCTCGAGGATGCTGCAACAGTGAGAGGGAGGGAGAGGGCGTCAGTCAGCGCAGCGCGCTCTCTCGCTCATCCGACGACGACGTCGTCGGCGACGTCCGCGATTCGAGATTCACGGCAGGCCGGGCCGCAGCGGGACGCGTCGTGGACGTCGTGGACGCCGCGGAGACGCGCCGCGGACACACATCCCGACAAATGGACGCGCGACGCCAAATACAGACCACCGTAAGAAGCGGGGCCGGGCGCCGCGCCGGCGGGACGGACTCCGTTGTCTCCGTCTCTCTCGCACTCACCGCGGCTCCCAGTCAGAGTGCGAGAGAGACGGGCGGCGAGTCTGCAGACGGACCGAGCGTCCCGCGGCGACGGCGCCATTTGTCAACCGCGGGGATGCAGATGTCCGTCTGAGAGACAGCGGGGACCGGATAAGCGCCACACACACACACACACACACACACACACACACACACACACACACACACACACACACACACACACACACACACACACACACACACACACACAGTGACAGTGGACCCCCTCGGGCTCGGAGACCATCATTCTCGGCACGGCCAAGAGCACAGCACGGCGTATGACGCCGCCCTGTATCAAGACTTCCACGTCGCGGGAGTCTGAGTCCAGCACACTCGTCATGAAGAAGCGAAAAGGACACAAAGGACGTCAGGCAGGAGAAGGACTCAAGGCACCTCCGCTGCCTCCCACCACCACCTCCCCTATGCAGGTCCCCGCGGACGAATAAAAGTGAAAAAGTGGCAAAAGAGCTGGGGGCTTTGGCGCGGCCTCGCTCCGTCTCTCTCGCACCCCTCCGAGGGTCGCACCGCGAGTGCGAGAGAGACGGAGCGACTGGCCGGTTCGGAATCGGCCTGCTGGGGGAGGCGCGATGATTAGAGGAGTATCTCCGGCATCTCGGTGTCCGTCCAGACCGATTGCCGGCCCGCCGTCTCTCTCGCACTGTGCAGTGCGCCAGTGCACGCGGGGCGGCCGGTGGGTGCGAGAGAGAAGGAGACACGCCCTTGCGCCCCGAGCAAACTCACTTTGCCGGCCTGTTTTCAATCGCCCCCTGCCGCGGCTAACACGCTTTTCTTTTCCCAGTAGACTGATTCTGAAGAGGGCTTTCGTCGCTCGGTCTCCCCCGCACCTATGAGGAAAGCCGCCTGACCGCGAGAGAGACAGAGCGACGGAGCCTTTGCCAGCCAAGAGCGTTTCTGCCACCGCACAGAGCGCCAGAAGACCGGCGCAGGAGGACAAAATTCTAGACGCGTTTTGAGCTCCAGAGTCGCTGAATGGGACGCGAACCGAGCGCGTGAGCCCCCCTCGTTCGGAGAGCAATCCATTGGTTAAGTTCACGTTCAGTTCGAGTCCCATTTAGCGACTCTGGGGCTCAAAACGCGTCTAGAATTTTGTCCGCCTCCACCGGTCTTCTGGCCCACTGTGCGCCGCGGACAACGGGAGTTGCACCGACTCGACTGAGTTTTGCACCGGTAGGTTGGTGGAGGTAGCCAGGACTTTACTTGGAACCTTACCGTTGGCCAGCCTGGTCGGTCCCATTGCGCCGCCACTACACCAGTGCAGCCCTACGCCCTTCTGCAGTGCAGGGCCAGGGCCAGGGCCGGGGCCCCGAATCGGGCGCCTGGGATGCGGCGGGGACGGCCACGCCGCACCACTCCGTGACCACTCCGGGGAGGATCCGCTGACAACGCTCATCGCTCCGTCCCCTGGAGGCGCCTGGAGGCCCTCAGGTAATAAGAGTCTTTTTACTGTCACCTTCCATTACCCGTGTGGAGCGTTGCGGTGCGGTGTGCGGGGCGGGCCGGAGTCAGGCCGCCACAGCCAGCCAGCAGACTGATCCCGAGAGCCGTTTTCGCCGCTCCGTCTCTCTCGCACTCATAGAGCGTTCCATATAGGTGCGAGAGAGACAGAGCGACGAAAACCACTCGCGGCATCCGTCTGCAGCTGCCGCCTCTCCGTTTTGGCGCCAAAATATCGACACATCCGGCGGCGCAGATGCCCGTGGCGTCCGAGACAAACGCACGGATGTAAGTTTTAGGATTCCGAGGAGCGCTGTCTCTCTCGCACCCATGCGGCAGCCGCACGGGAGCGAGAGAGACAGACGGTCGCTTCATCACGGCGCCAGGCCCTCCAGGCAGCCTCCAGGCAGCCTCCAGGCAGCCTCCAGGCAGCCTCCAGGCAGCCTCCAGGCAGCCTCCAGGCAGCCTCCAGGCAGCCTCCAGGCAGCCTCCAGGCAGCCTCCAGGCAGCCTCCAGGCAGCCTTCCAGGCAGCCTCCGGGGGCGCCTACACACCGCGCAACAAATGTTGCAGGCCACTCTCCCTTTCCTTTCCAGCTGATCAAACAACCTGAGCCGTGAAATCGAATGGAATGGCTCGACTGCCAGGCGCACAATTTAGAGCTGCGCCTCCTTGAACCTTTTTCCAAACTCTCGGCCGGCCGTGTCGGCGTGTCTTCCCTCCTGCATCGCCCTTCTCTCTCTCGCTCTCGCGCGCGCCGCGAATGAAAGTTGGCACGGCGACCCGAACAGACCGGAAATGAAACTACAAGTGGGAACAAAACAGCGCACATAAATCGTGGCGCGGCGTGTATATCTGTGAGGGGAGGAAGGACGGCGAGGACGACGGCTGGGGTGGGTGCGACGCGGTGCGACGCCGTGCGACGCGGTGCGAGCGACGCGACGCGCGAGGTCCGGGACGCCGGCACGCCGGGAGGTGGCAAAGAAGTAATGATAAACAGCGGACTGATTCCGAGGGTCGCTTTCGTCGCTCTGTCTCTCTCGCACCCGCACGGGGCGCCCCATAGGAGGGAGAGAGACACGGCGAACGACTCAGTCTGCTGCTGCACCGCGGCGCCAACAAGTGCAGACTCACCCTTGACACTCGCGCGTGCAACAAAAAAACACCAACAACTCGAGGAAAAGTCTCGTCCAAGAGTTATGGGGCAGCAGCGGGTGACTAAAAAATATAAGCCAAAGATTGAAATAGAAAGTGACCGCAAATTCGGGGGAAAATGCCGCTGCCCGGTTTGTGCACGGCCCCTCGCCGTGTCCCAGGGGGCCTCTGACGGCGCGGCGCCGCGGCGGCGCTGCCCCTTCGGGCCTTCGGGCCTTGGGGCCTTTTCGGCCAAACTGCCCTCTGCACTGTTTGCTCGGAGGCCCCACTAATCGAATCACTAAAACATACGAAATCGTAAAGTGTTTCTGCGCCACGCCCGTCCGCAGATTGCATCGCCAGCCCATTCCGCCCTTTCAGCTTGGCCAACTGCAGCTGCACCACCGCAAAAAAAGAAGTTTTTGTCGACACACTTGCCGAGCACTGCGCCGCCATCGCCGAATCGCGATTCCCACCAAATAAGACGAGGACCCAATTACCGAATGGTAATGGCGATAGAACACTCCGGCCGATTCAAATTTGGCGCCGAGGAGACAGAAGAAGGGCGGGCGATTCCCATTGGTCCCGCGAGAGCGCCTTAATCAGGGCCCAATAACGGGGAGCCTGTCCAAACGTCCGGCCCCGCCAGGCTGCGCCAGGCCCTCCACAAACAAAGGTACACTCCCCTCCAAAAGAAGACGTTCCACAGTGGACCAGAAGCCGGTGGAGGCGGCCAAAACTCTAGACGCATTTTGAGCTCCAGAGTCGCTAAATGGGACTCGAACCGAACGTAAGACCCCACCAATCGATTCCTCGTTCGGAGAGCAATCCATTGGTGGGGTCACACGTTCGGTTCGAGTCCCATTTAGCGACTCTGGAGCTCAAAACGCGTCTAGAGTTTTGGCCGCCTCCACCGGCTTCTGGCCCACTGTGCGTTCCGACGCTAAGCGGTGGCTTTTCCTTGGCTCTAGAATCGCTATGGTCGAGACCAGTACGCGGTGCACGGGCTTTGTATTTATTTCTCACGGTTTACGAGATTCGGCCTCGAGAAATCAGGAATTTGGTCGAGACTGACCCGGGCTGATTATTGGACGAGATTACAGCCAGCGCGCCGCCTTCATTGACTCCATTCTGTTGGAAACATAACGCGCGGCGTTCGTTTCGGAAAAGGCGGCTGACCCCCTGGCAGCACAAGCCGTAATGAAACACCCAGTTAATGACTCCGTGGGAGAAATTAAAAGTCCCGAAAAATCGAAAGCAGAGTCAACCAACTTAACTTGTGGGCCAATATGGGTGGTAGTGACGCGTTGATGTGGTAAAAATAATCTTTGAATTTTGGCGGGCAAAATTTTGAAGTGCACATGAGTTTTTAAAATCTAAGTTTGACTGAAATTTGAGGAAACGCAGCATAATAGAATAGGAAGAATTTTGACTGAAATCCGCTGAATTTCGATGTGCTCATTTCAGAGTAATTCTCTCTTATTTGAAACTGCTTCAGAATTTTCTGGACGAATGGAGGAAAGGGAGCCTATAGAAAATGGCGCAGAAAAACACTTGGCTCTCGGAATCGCCGACACTGCTAATGAGTCTCCGCAGTCTCCGCAGTCCTCGGACAGAGGGTGCCTCGCCGCTGATTTCTCTGGTGGCCGATAGTACAATCAGGCAGTCATTCCCTTCCCACCCCCTATTAAACACCCACCGCCTTCTGCCCTCGGGGCGCGTGCTTTCACCGGGAACCCAAAAAATCGATCGAAAAAAAAAAAACCGCGCTTCAAATCCGCACTGACTTTTCTCTCCGGCGGCTGGAGAGGGGGCAGCGTGAGGCAACATCGGTCAATTTGTGCCAATTCAGGCCAATTTGACTCGGCCTCCCTCAGCGCTTGCCCGCCATGCCCGTCTTGCCCGTCTCCACTCCCCCTCTAATCCACTCGCCTTGCCGGCGAGGCCAGAGGTTCGACTCCCCCCGACTGCCGGCCCTTATTTATTCAACCTTGGAATCCGTTCGATTTCGGTTCGATTTTTTCCCCTTTTTTTCGTGAAACTCTTGACAGTGTAGGCGTGCTTCGCCGCAGCGACACGGAGACACTGCCAATCAGGTGCCAATTCGAGGCACACGCACAAAAATAAAAACGACTCTCTCTCTCTCTCTCTCTCTGCCCCTTTCTTCCAGGAGGTGTCAATCGTCCCGATCGAGTTACGCCGTCTTTGGCGCCGCCAACAGAAAACTAGCTTTGCCCAAAGAGACGGCGGCCAAAGTACGCCGGGCCAGAAACTTTCGGCCGAGCCGCCACACGGTGCACTGCCAAAAAGCGCGCACGTGCGAGAGAGAGAGAGAGAGAGAGAGAGAGAGAGAGAGAGAGAGAGAGGAGGAGAAGAGAGAGAGAGAGAAAAGGAGAAGGCAGCGCGCTAAGAGCAGGGGTGCGAGAACGGCGACTATCACACATGTGTAATTCAGTCGGTGTGTCTCTGATCTCTGCGGGGGGTGTCATACCACGGGGACACACTATACGGGGCGAAAAAGCTTTACGGTCAGTTAGGCCCTTCCGCGCAAGCCGTACACACTGCAAGGAATTTTTTTTGTTTCGGAGCGAGTGGCTGTTTTTTTTTTGTAAACCTAGACAGATAGTGCGGAAGAAACGCCATTGAGAAAGGACCGTGTCTTTTTGGACCGAAATTCAACCGTCTTTTTTCCTCGGGTGTTGTTCACACCCGTGTGCTGGCCCAACACCCGCAGTCCGCAGCAGCGTTGGCGCCCACCCCCAGTGACTGGCTCTCTGGCCTGGCGTAGCCTGGCGCTCCTTCAGAGTGGCACACTAAAGGACGTCCCTGGGGACGGGGCGGCGGCGCGGCGCGACTGACCCTTCATTGGACCTCCCTCGCTACGTCAGCGCCCCGAGCGCCCTCGCCGACCTCCGCCAAATATCTATGAGAAATTCCAGCGTCCACCCAAAGTTCCGGTTCGCAGTGTACCGGAAGTGAGCCGCCATGGCCGCGCCTCGGCAGACCGGAAGTGGCTGCCGATTGGCCAAGCGGCCAACAAGGCGACGGCGCCATCGTGGTCGGTTAGTACACTCGCTTATAAAAGTAAACATGCCCGAAGGTGTTAAACGGCGCGCAGACACACACAGCGCTGTTACGGGAATGTGGCTGACGTTTTCGGTTTTTCCAACTTACCCGTGGCCGTCTATACTGCGGTCAAACGAGGGGTTCCTTTAAAAAGAAAAAAGAAATTATTTGACACTTTACACTCGGGACGTTTCGGGTTAATTAAAAAAAATAAACAAGAGAAATTAAAAGGTCAATCAAAGGGTCGAGTACAGGAATTGCTCAGAAAACAGAAACAAATCAGTAAATGTGTCCTCTTTTGGTTGAGAAAGGGTGGCGTTCTGTTTGTGGGAATGAGGAAATAAATTAACGGCTCGGCTGGCCAAGGACCCAATCAAAACCCAAAGGTACGATTCTCAGTCGGCAAATTCTTTTTCACTTTCCAGAAGCAATGCCCCCCACAAAGATGACCCCGTCAAACCGCGCCAGAGAGAGAGGAGAGAGAGAGAGAGAGAGAGAGAGAGAGAGAGAGAGAGAGGGAGAGAGAGAGAGAGTGCCTATCTGCAGACGACCCAACAGGTATCTCAATCCCGTGATAACTCCCATGTGAATCAAAATAGCAATAAAACGCTTCAAACACGCACATAAATCTGAACGAATTATGGCTGGGGCACTAATCTTTCCGGGGAAACAAAAAAGGGGTGAGGGGGACAGACCCGCCGAGGGAGAGAGAGAGTGAGATGGCGCTGTCTGCGCCTAAGGACACTACATTACAGTGGTCACACGAGAAGTGTGAATACAAAAGGATGAAAGAGACACTCTGGATTCCGCGAATATCCAAACGGGAGGGTGCCACTGCCAGGCTGGCTGCCGGTGCTACCCTGGGCCTGCCCTGGGCCTGCCGCGGCCAGTTCCGTCTCTCTCGCACCCCTGGGTCGTCGCGTACAGGTGCGAGAGAGACGGAGCGATGAAATTTCGGAATCAGAGTACTGCCTGGCCCGGGCGACGGACTGCCCCTCCGTCCATCAAGGGATGTCAGCAGATAATGCAGCTACAGCTGATCAGGGCGCGATAGCCGGACCCGGGGTATACCGTGCCGTGGCGTGCCGTGGCGTGGCGTGCCCTGCCGTGCGCCAGGGTGTCTGGGCCGGCCGGCAGCAGTCTGGAGGCTGACGACTGTATCAAGTCGTAAAAATTACAAAAGGCGCTATGTTTATCCACACACGCACATTCCTGCTTTCTTCGAGCTTTCGCCTCGAGGGCGGAGGATGCGATGCTCGTGGCAGTTACACCCGTCCCGAGAAATTCAGTGAAAACGACCCCCGTTCGTTCGGTCAGCGCGACGACGCCCCCGCCGTCTCCCTGGGGGCTCTTAGCCGGCCTGCGGGGGAGGACGGCCGAGTGGACACGACGAGAGAGAGAGAGAGAGAGAGAGAGAGAGAGAGAGAGAGAGAGAGAGAGAGAGAGAGAGAGAGAGAGAGAGAGAGAGAGAGAGAGAGAGGCGAGCCCCATTTGACCACCAGAATCTGTACAAGTGCCGACACGTTTGAAATTCGTCTCTATTATCTTCTTTGCTTATTGACGGGTCCCTCCCGTCCCGGTGGCTCCGACACTGTGAAATGAGAAACCCCTCGATCCGTTTGACGACTCCCCGCCGATCGAAAAGACTGCCGCCCCGAATGAAGAAGCTACCGCGAATTTGGCTGGCGGTCGTAAACGGACCGCCAGCCAGGCAGCCAAAGCACCTTTGGGACCGAAAGGTGGCGTAAAACGGCGGCGGTGACGACACTGGAAGCGCCGCCAGTGTATCCCGACAGAGCTATCTGGGTCTCTCTCCCACTCCTGCGGAACGCCCCACGAGAGGGACGAGTTGAGCTGCAGGATGGTCGCGCGGATTGCCTGCTGACGACTCGATCCGCGACCGCCCAGTTGCCACACAGTGGGAACTACTGCACCGAATTACTGAGAAAAGTGGATCGACTTTTGCCTGTCTTGCGTACCGCCATAAAAATGGTGTGCTAACGGCGGGCGACGCGTTCGGGACGCACGCACCGGGCAGCAGACTATGACTCCGAACAGTCGTCCCGTTGCTGCCGTCTCCCTCGCACTCATGGGGCGTCCCGTGGGGGTGCGAGAGAGACAGAGTCTTCGGGACGGCTCAGCAGAGAAACAAACGAGTTTCGGCCACTGCATCGCTGCACCTCATCGAGGCAGCATCAGTTTCGTGTGAATACAAAGAAAGAAAGGTAATAAAAGTTGTTAGCCCCACAGTTAGTCGCCCTAAGGCTGCCTAAGGCGATGCGTATCGGGCGGTCGCGATGCGCCCCTGCGATATGGGACGCATAAACGTCTCGGCGGCCTGATGCAGCACGGATGCAGCACATGTGCAGCACAACTACTGCTGCAGTCTCAAATGATTCGGACAGCGCCGCTGGGACGATAGTGTACGCAGGGACTCCCGAAGGAACAAATGCATTCCCTTTTTCGCTGAAACGACGTCTCGTCAGAACATCACGGAATTTGACAAGGGGAAATAACACCAGCCAAATTAGTACACCAAAATTCAGTAGTTTTTCCCTGCAATTTGTCAAAATTCAACTGAAATTCATTGGATTTGTGCACTGAAATCCACAGCGATTTTGGAATTTGACCTGAACTTGACCTCGTTGGGCTCACTTTTCGGTGACTATCGTTCCCCTTTTGTGCCATCGGCAGCAAGGAGCGCGCCGAAACGAGTCGAGAAACACGCACCGGTCCTCCCGGCGCGTGAAAAATTTGCGCGGTTACGGAAAGGGTGACTAACTGGTGAAACCTGAACCCAAATGCCCGCACCCGCTAATCTCGCAGTCGTTTCAATTGTCACCTTTTTATAACTTGCTATCAAGATCACATCAGCCGGGCGGCCAAAAAGACTGCCCCGAGCCAAGCAAGCGTGCGATCTGCGGGGAAGCCGCAGGATAATAATAATAATAATAAAATAATAATAATAATAATAATAATAATAATAATAATAATAATAATAATAATAATAATAAGGGTGTGTTGTGAATTCAACGTGGTGGAACGCCCTCCGCCCACAACTCCCCGAAAAAAAGTTGCGAGCGCGAACCGAACCAGCACAAGAAGGTAAAGTGGAGTGGAAGACCCTCCCCTCTCCTGGGACACTAAAATGCAGATCAGCGTGTACACGGCCCGACACGGCGACACGGCCGCAGGGAGGCGCGGAGCGCCTGGGGACAGTTCAGCAGCAGACGCCCCGGCGAATGAAGAGGATTCGTCCATAGATCACCTGCGCTGCACATCAGTATGTCTCGCAGCAATGACAGCAGTCTCTCTCCTTGCGTCCCGTAGGGGTGCGAGAGAGACAGAGGTTCGGAAGCCACTGCTTGATATGCTCGGGAGTCCACTGCGCGGAAGCTCCTCAGATGCCTATCAACGCCACTGCACCTTCTCTGTATGCAGCTCCATTTGACAGCCCTTTTGTCTCGAGCAGCACCGCCCTGAAGGGCTGCATGCAGATCGCGGACCAAGGGCCCAGCCGGCAAAAATTCAGAGCGAGTCCCCCGAGCAGTGGCTTTTCAGCGCGCAAAGGTCTCAGGACGAGTCTCAGAGCAATACGAACCAAGAACAGAGGGCTCGAAGCACTCGGGACGAGTAGCAGAGTAAAATGGCCTCATGTCTCAGTCCAAGAGGACCCGAGGGTGAGTATTCGTTCAAGAGTACCTTAGACCAAGTCTAACAGCAATACGACCCATTGACTGTTCTCAGTGCTTGCAAGCTTCATGAAGATGACCTCAGCACAGGTCTCACTGCAAGTCTCAGTGCAACAGGCCAAGCGGGTGCGGGGTTTCAAAAACGGGTGCAGCGAAATACGTGCAAAGTGCCTCCAGCTCTCGGGCGGCTGGAGGAGAGAGAGGAAGAGGTGACAGGCAAGTTCGGGCAGGAGCCCGACCTTATGGAGATCTAACAGGGGAGCCACCCTGACTCAACACAACGCCTGACACGCAGTGACACGTGCTGAACGGACGAATTAACGATCCGTTTGTGCAAACTACGCATTACTGCCCCGTTGGGGTTGCCCATGCCGGTTGAGTACCTGTTGGTCGTCCGTAAGGACTTTCCTTACGCTGACATTCCTGACCAATTTGCAACGAATGAACCTTATGATTCACCTGTCAGTGAGCAACAGTGACATGTCTGGCCTTGGCAGCCCCACCGGGGGACCCTAGGAAGCCTTATGAACTAGGAGGAAGTAGAAAAGCAACATGCCCTGGCTCGAGGAGAGGACTGTGAGTCTGTTTGTCCTGGTTTGGCGCTACGAACCAGGAGTGGGAGAAGGCACTGGGGTTGAGGTTGTTGAGGCTGTTGAGGTTGTTGAGCCCGTTCAGGTTGTTGAGGTTCAGGGAGGACATGGCCGGCCCGGCCTGGTGGGGGCCGTGCAGCTGGTGGTGCCTCTGGAACGAGGACGTGACGGCGAAGTCCATGGGCATGGCCTGGTAGGGCAGCATGGCGCCGGCGGCTCCGCGGCCCGCTCGCCAAAGACGTCGTGGAGCACTAGACACAGACCGCCATCCTGGTCACCACGGCGACAACGAGGTCCTCCAAGCCCGCTTCGACGCCGTCGTCATCTTGAACGCACTGCACTCATGTTGCACACACACACACTGACACACACACACACACACACACACACACACACACACGCGCGCGCTGCACCGTCACGGCGGCGACCTCCACGTGACGTCGCGGTGCTGGACGAACGCGAGGCACTAGCAGTGCACTAGCAGTGCCGGCAGATGAATGAGCAGTGGGGGAGTGAGTCCGGAGTGCCGCCGCCACGGCCGCCAGGGCCGCCGCCGGAGCGGGGCGGGTGCGGGGGCGGGGTGCGGGGGCGGGGTGCGGGCGGGCCCCTCCTCCGCGCCCGTCCGCCGCTCCCATTGGCCGCCCGGCCGCCGCCGCCTCCCGCCAGTGTGTCAAGTGCACGGCTTTTGTCTGGCAGACGATCGCGGACTTAGCGACATGCATGTCGTCTGGCGGACTGTGGCGGACTGTCAAGATGTCGAGCAATCCGTCCGATTCGTCGAGCGAAGCGATTCCACAACGAATTCCATGCCTCTCAATGAGAACGGGCGACGACCCCGCCGGGTCGCGAACCCGCGACCTCC